GAGACGTAGATCTCGCAATTATTGATAGTCCAGCATACATTTTTTTACGTAGGGATCATAGCGATAGTCATAAGAGCGACTGATTATCATTTTAAAGATGTGAAATAGTAATAGTCGCCGACTCTCGTTTTTATGGTACACATCATTCAAAATGGTGTTCTAGGTAAATCAAAATACCATGACACGTCGATATAAATTTAATGCCAGCGTAACAGATTGGTAAATGCACCATGAACAAGGTCGTGACCCAATGACTTTTTAAATCAATCAATGGCAATTTATTTATGAACAACATATAAATTAAAACAAAAATCTTTTCATTTATAATAGGAGATGAGATGATGTTGAAACAAATTTAAGAACATTTTTCGTGGGTTTTCAGTTATAGTTCATCAAGCCGAAATTGTATACAAAATTTTACCGAAGTTTGTGTTATAGCCCATTTACTGTATCTTGACCGTAAAGTGAAATCAAAGGAAAGCGTGTGATTCTAGCTGATATATAGCTAGTTTATGTCAATTAAGTTAAATATCTGCCCCTGTAACTCTACAGCTTTGACTGGAAATGGATTTTCTGGTGAAAGTCAATCCACACAGAAACGAACGAATGCTCGGATAAGTGACCAGGACTGTAAGAGTGAAAGCCAAACATTTTGTGTAGAAAACATAAAAACTTAATTTTTAGGCTAATCACTTAAAGACTGATAATTATCAATTTACTTTTTGTCCTTCGTTGTATACAAAAATCCATTAAAATTGCATGTGATATTGCTGTTAAATGTAACTATGATAAATAATAATAGTTTATCATAGTTACATTTAACAGCAATATCACATGCAATTATAATTGATTTTTGTATACAATGAAGGACAAAAAGTAACTATGCTTACCTGAATGATTCGATACAGCTGTTGAGACAAAATTTAAAACAATAAATATAACAACAAATGTGTTCATTATATCGTTTTGTCTGTATAAAACTGAGAATCAAGTTTCTCGGACGTTAACGTATGTATTCCTTGCAGTCATTTTCTTTCACGTTTATAAAATCAGAAGTCTTTAACAATGCACCTGAAGAATATATAATAAACTATGTCATGAATAACCATAAACATGCACTTAGTTGGAAAAATGCATACGTGAAAGCCGGATAAATAAGACATACTTTGTAACATATTTAGTCATCATATTTGTCCATGTCATAATTAAAGTTTAAATTAAATAGTTTGTCTTTTATGATTTATTAATTGCTTTGAACTTAGTTGTTTAGTCTATTATTCATATCTTAACCATAATAAATTCTTTTTTTCATTCTTCTAAATATAAAAAACAATATTGGGGTTATCCATGCCTTTTTCTTTCTTTGTAGCATATTCGATGTTCGGCGAGAGATCTAAACAAGACCAATCTGCTTTCTACAAATGAAATTAATAAATGACGTCTTTATTTTTCTGTAGTACACAAACTAAATCATGTGGCCACGCATAGTTTTCGATTATCTTTTAAATGTGTGTACAAGTTAATATATATGACAAGTGAAACATTCTAACATGATCTGCATTTTGCTTTGTAAGCAAAGCTTTGTTCTAATAAGCACAAAATATGTTCGACACATGTGCACAAACTTTTACAGTCTCGCTATTTTTATCCTAATAATATATATATATATACAAAGAAATTTGTTTTGCATGCACACGTATAAAAATTGCGGTTTTTATCCAACGCAATCATAGGTTTGAACGTTGTTTTCAATTTAGACTTGTATATATATATATATATATATATATATATACAAATCGTCTAAACATCAACCCAACAATGTTAGATCTGTAAATTTGCTTTAGCAAATTTTTGTTCTTCCCTCGCCGGGATTCGAACTCATGCTACTGAGATATCGTGACACCAAATCGCCTGCACTGTATCCGACGCGCTAGAACACACGACCACCTAGGCTTCACAATAATAAAAGCTTTCAGTGGCCGGGTGTTACCTTTCCTCGTCAGTTTTAATCTAGCGTCGTAATACAGTATATGATATATAAGGCATGAAGATGGAATTGTTACAGATCAGCTGAAATGTCTATTGTAAAGGATCCTACAAACTAATGCAATATACAGTCACAGAAATAATTATATATATAAGTACGTCTGAACCAGTGACAACTCTACAACAGATTAATCCATCGGATCACCAGCAGTGATGGTGATACATGGCTGTGTACATTCTGTATATACAAATCGTCTAAACATCAGTCCAACAATTATGTTAGATCAGTAAATTTGCTTTCGCAAATGTTTGTTCTTCCCTCGCCGGGATTCGAACTCATGCTACTGAGATAACGTGACACCAAATCGCCTGCACTGTATCTGACGCGCTAGACCACATGACCACCTAGGCTTCACAATAATAAAGCTTTCGGTGGCCGGGTGTTACCTTTTCTCGTCAGTTTTAATCTAGCGTCGTAATACAGTACATGATATATAAGGCATGAAGATGGAATTGTTACAGATCAGCTGAAATATCTATTGTAAAGGATCCTACAAATTAATGCAAGATACAGTCACAGAAATAATTATATTTATAAGTATATATATATAGCTGCTTACATTAAATTTTATTTATATTCTAATTAAAAAATAAAAAAAAGTAAAATAACAGAACTCCAAAGAAAAGTTCCTTATCAAATGGCAAAATCAAAAGATTCAAACACATCAAACGAATGGAAAACAACTGTCATATTCCTGACTTAGAACCGGCATTTCCTCATGTAGAAAATGGTGGATTAAATCTGGTTTTATAGCTAGCTAAACCTCTAACTTGTATGACAGTCGCATATAATTCTATTATATTGACAACAATGTGTGAGCAAAACAAACAGACAGAATAGTTAAAAATTGTCAAAAAATTGGGGTACAGCAGTCAACATTGTGTATTAATCTTAATCAGTATAAACATCATATAACTATTCAACAAAGAAAAACAAAAATGGCATATAGACAATCTATAGACAAATTACATGAGCAAAAACATCATATATTTACTCTGCTATTAGTATTTAAACTTTTTAGATTTTAAATCTCGCTAACGATCGGTGTAAAATATCGACAAATATAATGCCTACCCATGTCAAAATGAGCATAAAGCATGACATGAAGAAATTATTTTTTGAATTAATTACATTTGCCATCATGGTAAACGAACAAGATCATTTTCCTAAATTTTTGTAAAGTAAAAAGTAGATGTAAAATGTGTTTGGGGAAACTTACATTGTTTTTTTTTATTTCATTTTTAAAATGTTTCAAATCCGGTAAGTGCATATTTCACTTTTCCATATCATGCTGTATTTTGGTAACTAATTTGAATTTGAATAATATCAAAACTCTTTACTTTAATATGAATTAAAAAAAAATGGTTCATGGTTTTATGTTTGAAAAATGTAATTTAGCTAGAACTAACAGATAAAAGGAGAATAAAGTTACATCCCTAGTATGGTAACGTTCATATTTCTGTTTACATTATGCGCCCTTTCACCACTACACGGTATTCCATTATACATCTTGTTATCCTATTTTCTACCATAACAATGCTTATGCTGGGATAACTAATCAAGTATATAAAAAAGAAAGCCAAACATGTTGTGAAGAAAATATAAAACTCAATTGTTTTTCTGTAATCTCTGATACTTATTTATTTCTAGTCCTTCATTGTATTATTGCATACGCAGATCTTTATAATTACATCTTATATTGCTATTAATAATAATTGCTGTAATAATGCTTACTTGCATGAATCGGTACAGCTGATGAGGTCAAATGTTAAATGGAAAATATAACAACACATGTGTTCATTTTATCGTGTTGTCTGTATAAAACTGACAAAAGTTTCTCGGGCGTCATCATATGTATTACTTGTGTACGTTACCTGTTGCGTATATAAAGGTATAGGAGTCTTTATTTAACAATAAGCACCTGAGGTTTATACTTACTTTTCCAATAAATCAAATAATACAAACAATACAATTAGACAATGTTTAGAGTTGTCAGCATAAGGATATGAAGTGATAAATTGTGACGGAATGAAAACATGATTAAATTAAAACATTATGTAATCAAAAGGCATAAGATATATTTGAAAACAACAAAACTTATGTTTAACAGCTTATATCATCTAAGGTTAAATTTGATCAAGTAGTATAGATATAATTACATCTTAAAAAATGAAATATCAATGTTAGTTATTAAATTGTATCAGTTACATGATTTAAATCATGCTAGAACTAAAGATGTTGGCCATGGAAATTATATGTCAAAGAACAAGAAAAGAAAAACAATTTAAAAATCACAACATGTACAACAAGTCAAGAAAAATTTAACACGACAGGTGCCACACGTGCAGCAGTATCAGCTAACCCTTCCGAAACACCTGCAATTACTCCCGGTTTGCGATGGGGTTAGTGTTTCTCAGTCTTTAGATTTCTATTTTGTGTTTTGTGTATTTTTGTTTGTCTCTTTGTCGTTTATTGCCATGGCGTTGTCAGTTCATTTTCGATTCATGAGTTTGAATGTCGTTTGTTGTTATCTTTTGCCTCTCTTTATCCACTTGATCTAATAAAACATAATATGCTAGCATAGTATTGTTTACGGAATCAATTTATGATTAGCAAAACTTAAAAGTTGAAATATGGTCTATGTTAAAACATGGTCTGTTTTATTTATAAAATATTCGAACTCCTTTAAAACTAAAAATCACTTTTTCTTAAATGCTATGTAATTATTTTATAAGAAAAACATAATTTTAGTTTATCTTTAGACTAAGCTAAAGTCCTGACAACTTATTATTGGTTAAATTCCATTGAACATTTTTAACACCTAAATTTGAAAATTACACTTCAACAGATCGAGACCACTAGAATTCTGACATTTGCAAAGTAATTTCACAAACACAAAATGTAAACATGCCCCATGTGACATTGACCTATTGACACAATGAACCACAATGCATTGCGGGTTACTATCAGCTTTTATTATATAGATTTTTAGGGAAAGAACACAACAATATAAACTGTTTCAAAAGTATTTATATCTAATTATGTCCAATGGAAAATCATATTGAAATCCAACTTCTATAACAGCAGTATTAATGGTCGCCTCTATAGAGATTCTGCTCATTCTCCTTAAGAAGCTAAAAAGAGAAGAAAAACACTATATTCATAACGAATCGTCTTGGTAAATAAAACAGTTTCACATAAATAAAGGTTACCCAGTTACATTTCTAAAATCTAGTTTACTGCATCTTAGGTATCTCGTATTTTAGTCAGACTGTATCTTCAGAAGCGGTTATGGTCTTTTAACTTACAAAACAAAATGGAATAGAAAATGAAATTTAGAGGAAATGATGCCATTTAAACATGTTATATCTTTAAATAATTTTGTCGTATTTATTACATATGTTCCGAATCTTTCATCACATTTCTTAATTAGATATCCTCTTCTACTCAATATCACATAAAAGTCAAATCGAACATAATTTTTAAACTTAATTAACTAGTGAATTGTTTGATAACCAATAACCACGTGATAGGGAGAAAAAGACATAGTCCAGTATTAAAAGAGTTTGTAAAAATCATAACGTCAATTACTTGACAGTTTTCCCTTTACTTGTCTTTGTGCTATTATGTTCTTTTTGATTGTATTACTCTTGGCGTGACTTGGTATTTATGCATCCAGCTATCGAGTTTTTGATTTGGGTATTCCTGATTCAGGTGGGTCTAGAGGTGAAATTTGGACACAAGAGGTTTTTATCGTAAAGTTTTCACTTTGTTTATCCTTTTGTTTATATTTTACTTATTTTGTACTTTATCGAGAAAATGTATATCATATATTGTATATATTGTATGTACTACATACCAACTACCAACACTTTTTCGTTGGCGTCTCTGTAAAATTAAGTATCAACTACTAAAACTTTTTTCTTACCGACTTTGCTAGATTTATTTGTATGTTTGTTTTAATGTTTTAGTCAGTTGTGTTGCATGTCTGTGATGTATGTTTACACAGTTTTGGCTGCTGGATCCAAATTATTGTCACATTAACTTATTACATTATTTTTGGTTCTTCATTCAATATTGTCAATATAACGGAACTATAAACATCTGCAATACAAGTGGAAGGTATAGCTAACTATAAAACAGGTTTAATCCACCATTTTCTTTGGAACATGCATGTACCAAGTCAAGTTCATTGCAGTTGTTTTCCAACTGTACCGTTGGTTGATCAAGGACAACGTTTGATTTTGTCAGTTTTTTTGGACTTCGCCTTTTTGAATTTACCTTGGAGCTCGGTATTTTTCTTATACCTTTTTTGCGTTTCCCTGACAATCTGAAATTATAATGACAATGAAATAAACGTAAGATGTGAATTACACGGGCAATGCTTAGTTAACTTGATTGGAAATAGTTTGAACGCAAATTAATTATTTCTTATACCGAATTAGACTTATCACCGGGATTGTACTTACATGAGCAACACGACGGGTGAGATCACCTGAGATCATCCCCAGTTTTGGTGGGGTTCTTGTTGCTCAGTTTTAGTTTCATATGTTGTGTTTTGTATACTGTTGTTTGTCTTTTGGTCTCCCTTTTTTTGCCATGTCGTTGTCAGTTTATTTTGACTCATAAGTTTGAATGTCACTTTGGTATCTTTCGTCCCTCTTTTATAGCAATGGTGATGCTTTTGCTCCATCTAAGTATGTTTTAAATGCAACTTTTTGTACTTTCTAAAATCAATTTCAAGTTAAATAATTGTTTTAACATTTTATACTTTGACAGCCGATTAAGTACATGGGACAGCCAAGCCTTACGTAATACGGTTACTGCTATTATTAGAAAATCATGCCACAAGTATCAAATCACTAGATCTCACAATAGTACACAGTTAACTAGCATTGATTTGGTCCCAGACATAGTAATCAGAAAGATGTATTATAATTTGAGTACACAACTTTGCATGAGGGAGGTGACATTTTTGTTCGAGGTCTATATATAATTAACTAATTGAAACATATATCAAATTCTTAGCTTTATTTATATTCTAAGCCGAAACAAGTTTTGGAAACAAATTTGCAGTTGTAAGATAATTGTACAAATTTAAAACTAATTGCAAACTGAAATAAGGAGCGAGGAATCTTTCATTTATTATTCCTGGTATGTTTAGTTTATTTTGACCAAGAAGTCTCAGACGTGAAAATGAAAAGTGTAGTGTTTTTGCCGACGTAAAAGGACTACGATAACCAAAAAAAAACGATTTTTAGTCTGAAATGGTAATTTGGATCTTATGGTCATCTGAAAAAACTGAAACATAAATTTCAAAGTCATGTGCAGTCTTTCAGTCAATTTTCAGATTTATTGAATGTGGTAAATTCATTGTTGTTCAGACAATTCGATTAGAGCCAATTTTAAAAAGTGGATCATCGGTATATATTCCTCAAATAGATTTTTTCTAACACTTTGCCAACATTACCCAATTTTGCATAGACTATAATTGAAAAAAACCCACTTTATTAAAAAAAAATATGAGACAGAATTTTGAAATAAAATATGAGAAGATTGGTTATGTAATATGCTTTAAGAAAATAGAAAATGGTGTCACCGAACTTGCTTTCTTGCTACAAGTAAAAATTAACTATTAGAGCTATCCAGCATCCCCCCCCCCCCCCCATGCTCACCCCCAACCCCACCCCCAGCCTCCTAAATGGCTAAATAGACAAAGTTTTCCAAACAAGTACAAATATTTGGTATTTGTTAAAACAGTCTAAATACTGCAATAAATAAAGGCAACAGTAGTATACAGCTGTTCGAAACTCATAAATCGATAGAGATAAAAACAAATCCGGGTTACAAACTAAAACTGAGGGAAACGCATCAAATATAAGAGGAGAACAACGACACAACAAAAACACAACATTGAAATGTAACACACACAGAAACGAACTATAATATAACAATGGCCATTTTCCTGACTTGGTAGAGGACATTTTAAGAAAAAAATGGTGAGTTGAACCTGGTTTTGTGGCATGCCAAACCTCCCGCTTTAATGGCAACGTCAAACACAACACCAAAACGAAAACATCACATGACAGGACCACAATACAAATAAATGGGAGAACATATAGGACAAAGAAACACACGAATAATAGCTAGCAAAAGGTACTAGGCTTAAAATTCAATACGCCAGACGTGCGTCTCGTCCACACAAGACCAACCAGTGACGCTCAGATGAAAAAAGTTTGAAAGCCAAAACAAGTACAGAGCTAAAGAGCACCGAGGACCAAAACTTCCAAAAAGTTGCGCCAAACACGGCCAGGGTTTTCTGCCTGGGACAATAACATCCTTATTATTTAGAATAATTTATAATTTTGAAAACAGTAAATTTTATAAAATGACTACATAATAGATATACATGATAAAACCGAAGTGGGGACTAACTACAGAATAAAAACGTATACATTACATAAAACAACTTAATCCAACACATAAAAATACACATCCGAGTTAGCCGAAGCCTCAACGCACAAAGTGACGTCACATTTGAAATTCTAAAAAAAGAAACACACAAAGTGACGTCACATTTGAATTTGTAAAAATATTTCACTTATCACTTATTATTTTCTTTTTTCAAATAAACAGTCTTACTACACATATATTGCCAATATGTCTCAAAAATTGCAGATTTAAGCAAAGAATAAGACAAATTGTGTACTACTATTTTACAATTCAAGATGACGGTATACAGTTAATATATTAAGAACTGTTCAGTTTGTCATACACTTCAGTATGTGGATGGTCTGCACATGTTTCAAACATAGTTTGAACATAGACTGAACATATTTTTTTAACTGCAGGCTAATTTTCTGAACTGTACCAAATTAACCGCAGTGGATAAGTTTGAAAATTTACTGTAAAAATGAAATGACTTAATATTTTTATTTTCAGCTAGGTGAAATATAACCCTAGTACCCAAAATAATCTCGTACATAATTCCCTGTGACATTGTTGGCAAAATTAAGCAATAGTACAATTACAGTAGTACGTAACAAATATTGGCATATGGTTTATTGTGTTATTTTGGTATATAAATTGATCAACCACTTACTTTGTAATTATGCAATGGTCCGCGAAAAAGTAGTTCAAAACACAAGCTATGCTGCATGATGTTGATATGGCTAATTAATAAGTTTTAAAACTGGTTTATGAATTTGTTTTATCAAACTAACCCAAATAATGTTTATGTGGTTATGAAATAGTAGTCGGATCGTGTGAAATAAAAAAAAAGTTTAAATTAAAAAGTGTGAATCTAACAGCAAGTGGCTAAACCTTTTTAGAAAAAAGAAAAGAAAGTCTTTCATAATTCTTGAATATCCATTTCTGAAACTAAGGTCTTGAGACAAAAAGAACTACAAAACTAAACGTTGTTACCTTGACATGGGAATGAACAATTCCCTGTTGAATACCACCATGTAGAAATTCCGATATTTCTGATTTCTAATGGGTTTGAAGTATCAGTCCATTCCATGATTGTCGCTTTACTGCCATCTTCTACTCTGATATTTCCATGACTCCAATTAATGTTAAATGTTCTATATACAGTTTGTTTGAGTACAGGACCATGATGCATTGCCAATGGTAGCCCTTTTTTGCTGTCACGGATGATAGACCTTGAGTTAGCCCAACCACCCAATACTATTTCATAAATAGGATCTTGATCAGTGTTTGAAGACATTAAAGCTACATGTGCATCACTCTTAGCCTTTACCTTAAAATTAATACTATCGGTTACTGAATTTCCAATACAAATGCCGTTATCTGACAAAAGAATGTATTTATACAGTTTTGGGGTTTTTACAATTATTCCCAGGCAATCTGAAATTATAATGACAATGAAATAAAGCAATCTAATAATTTCTGATACTTATCTATTAACTTTTAGTCTTTCATTGCATTATTGCATAAACAAATCTTTATTCTTACATGTTATATTGCTATTAATAATTATTGCTGTACTTACCTGCATGGTTCGGTACAGCTGATGAGGTCAAATGGAAAATGGAAAATATAACAACACAAGTGTTCATTGCATCGAGTTGTATGTATAAAACTGACATAAATTTCCACGGGCGTCAACTTATGTATTAATTGCGGTCGTTTCTTGCAGCTGTTACGTAACAATAACCACCTGAGGTTTATATTTACTTAAAGTATTATATTGTGCACTTTCCCAATTAATAAAAATAATCCAGAAAATGAAATCAGACGATGTTTAGAGTTCTCAGTATAAGGATATGAAATGATAAATTGTGAACGAATGAAAACACGACCACATTTATTTTATACAATATATAATCCAAACGCATAAGATATATTTGAAAACAACAAAATGTATGTTAAAGGATGTAGTCATTTCCGGTTTAGGATTTTTTGTCAGATGTTCGGACTCCTTTGGTTTTTCCCTACGATACAGGGTAAAATATTTTGCCCCATATCATCCACTTTTCTTTTCATAGAAGTCCTCAATAACTAATAAAAGGTCAATACTAAAATTTAAGCAGATTCTAGTTTTGTATGTTGCGTTTTGAGTACTTTTGTTTGTCTTTTAGTCGTTTTTGCCATAGCGTTGTCAGTTCTTTTTCGAGTAATGAGTTTGAATGTCGCATTGGTATCTTTCGCATCTTCTTCTCAGCTTGGTCTAAAAAAACAGACTATGCTGTCACATCATTGTTTACGGAATCAATTCATAATTAGCAAACCTTAAAGTTGAAATATGTTATATGTTAAAATATGGTTTCTTTTATTTATAAAGTATTCGAACTCCTTTAAAAATAAAAATTACCATCCATTTAATGTTATGGTATTATATTTTAAGAAAAAAACATAATTTTAATTTATATTTCGACGAAGCTAAAAGTCCTGTCAAATTATTACTAGTTACATTTCATTATTTATTTTTAACACCTAAATAATGAAAACGACACTTTAACAGATCGAGACCATTAAAATTATGACGTCAGAATACATTTGCATAGTAATTTCACTACCACAAAATGTCAACATGCTCTCGTGCATTGACCAAACGACATAATGAACCACAACGCATTGTGTGTTACTACCAGTTTTCTATCACTTATGAACACATGGAATTTGGTTGAACAGTGTCATTTTGAGTTGTATCTCGGAATTTTAGATTTACTTTATTTGTTCATCAAATGAATTATTCTGTTGTTATGCACTTTGTATTCATTTTACGAGAAATTGATAACGAAGTGTTCAATGTTCACTTAAACAAGTTTGAGCTTTTGAATGTCAAAATAAGAAGATTTGGTATGATTGCCATTCAGACAACTCTCCTCCAGAGACCAAATGACGTTAACGTTAGTTACTATAGGTTACCATACAGCCTTCAATAATGAGCAAAACAAATACCGGATGGCAATTTATAAGAATCCCCGAAATGACAAATGTAAAATAATTCAAACGAGAAAACCTACTGATCTGATTAACATACAAAACAATAAACAGAAAACAAATATGAAATACAGCCACGGAATTACAGGCTACTGACTTGGTATAAGTTCACATAATGTGAAAGTGACAGGGTCAATCAGGTTAGCGGGCGGTCCGCATAACCTAAAACAGTGGTGCAACAGCAAAACAAACAATAAACGAAAAAAGTGCAGTTGTTACAATTTTATTTCCTGCACATGCAAAATCGCAAAAGGGGAAACACATCATCCATTGAGACGTCAAACCTAAATACTTCACCATAGGGAGACTGATGTCAAACATTCGTGTCCTGAACATAACTTTTAATCATAAAAATGTTGATGATTGTTGTTTTAAAAAGAACACAGTATTTCTCTAAACTAAATAATAATCGTGTTAACATGTATATATCAATTTTTGTTTAACGTTTGTGAATACACATTTTTAAAACTAAAAATACAGTATGTTACATGTCGTGACTGATGCATGGTTAAACATACTTATAAACATATCTTGAACACATGCATGGTTGAACCAGTTACCTGTTAATAAACATGACCATTGCTTGTGAACAATTAACAATTTTGCATAGAAAGTGCTGTATTTCTTAAGAAGTATTGTATCAAAACATTAAACATAAAACATAGATTTAATTCTGTTATTTGTATAACATGTATAAGTATCATTAAAAGAGGGACGAGAGATACCAGAGGGACAGTCAAACTCATAGATCGAAAACAAACTGATAACGCCATGGCCAAAAATTAAAAGACAAACAGACAAATAATAGTACAGATTAGGATAGTTTATTTCAATAATAATCAATAATCTGAAAATGTTTTATTTTTTGTCTTCTTTTCCGAGACATCATGTGCTTTATATATTGAAAAAGATATTATCGTGAATATATAACTGATATCAAAGTATGCTGCGTTTTTAATGTGTTACCTTGTTACTACAAGGCTTATAATGTCTTTGGCAATACCACGGGATTTATAATTAATCTCATTGCTATATTTAGGAAGTAAGCATTAAATGAGCACGTGACAAAGAAGTGTTCATAGTCTTTTTTTTTTCAATGCCTACATCAGTTGTCCTCAGTAATACTCCACTTTTTCCAACGTTAATTACATGGCAGTATTTCATTAATAAGTTTCCATCTGAATGTTTTCAATCTATTATCAGTGATTGATTGGAAAATAAAAACAAAATTATTTTTGAACTTAGAATTAAAATTTTCTTAAAATCAATTTCTCACATAAGAAAACCATTTGGCTTATCACAACTTTCTTTTAGTGTGAAGATTTGATAGAGTTATTTTGGGTTCATTAAGGGAGTTATTGTCTTAAATAAATAATAGTTTCAGAGATTTTACTATCATATTATTTATTTATGTATTTCTCTGTGCTGAGTGTTCTTGTGTTTGTTTGTACTGCATTCCTGTCACGTAGTGTTGTCATTGTAGCAGTATTTTTAACATTGCCATATTAGCGGGAGGTTTGGCTAGCCACCATTTTTTTTTCTTAAAATGTCCTGTACCAAGTCAGGAATATGGCAGTTGTTATCTACAGTCTGTTTCTCTGTATGTTGGTGTTTGCTTTTGTTGTAGTTCAGTGTTGCTGTTGTTCCGTTGTTTTCCTTTTATAGTTGATGTGTTCCCCTCGGTTTTAGTTTGTTACACGGATTTGTTTTTGCTTAATCGAATTATGACAATTGAACAGCGGTATACTACTGTTGCCTTTATTTACCCTGTTCATCAATGGTATCATTTATATTGATAATGTCACTTTTTATCCAGTCTTCACAATATAAGCATTTTCTGTTAAAGCTGATATTACCTTTTCCCCACATAACTTGCTTTCTCATTTCAATCAGCAGTAAATTCCAAGACTTTTGATTGGTGAAGTACACCAAATTATATCTTCAAATTTTTCACGACAGTGTTCCAATTGACCTAGCCATATCCCTTCAGTTTTTGTTTGTTCAAATTAAAAACTGAGAAAGTACCAAATATCTCTATTAAATTAATTGCAAGAGAGACGACTTTTTTTTATTGAAGAAATAGAGTAGTATCATCAGCTAATTGTCAGATTTGAAGAGTATTGCTTTTACTGTCTAGCTTTATTTCTAATTCTTTTAAGTTGTTATTTCCCTTATCTTAATTGCCATAACTTATATAGCTTAAACAAATAGCAAAGATGATAACATACATCCTTGTTGGATTCCACGAGATGCCGTAAAACGGGTAGAAACCCATCCATTGTTAATAATGCATCCTTTAATATCATAGTACATTGTCTGAACCCACCTTATGGAATTATTTGTTAAGCCAAATTTCTTTAAAGTCTCAAACATGAAGCCCCATTTTAATGAGTCAAATACTTATGTAAAATCAAAGAATTAATGCCCCATATGTTTGAAAAGTTTCATAGTAGTCTATGGCATCTTTTATTTGCCGAATATCAAAACCAATATACCTTATTTCGACATATCCTTTTTGGTCAGTATGTATGATCTTTGGTAGCAGGGGTTTTAATCTTTGTGATAAGGCATATGCAGCATTGTTTAAAAGTGTGATCGGTCTATAATTGTGTATATTAAAGGGTCACTTTTTTTAAAATAAGGATATCAAACCAACTTTCTGAGTGTTAGATAGCTTCCCCTTTTCATAACAGTAATTAAAAGTAGAGACTATAAAAGTTTTATGTTCATCCCAGAATGTTCTGTAATATTCCACATTTAAGGCGTCAAGCCCAGGAGCCTTATCAAGTTTCATTTAAAACAATTGCATCAGTACATTCATCAACAGTTATTTCTCCTTCACATTGTATTAATTTAACAGTCGTTTATTTTCTCATTATCCGTAAGAGAATCTAGGTACTTCTTTTTTTTTTCTATCTCATGATTTTTTTGTAGAATATAAATTTTCATAATAATTTCCTTCTAATTTTAATATTATTTCTTGATCTTTTGTAACTTGACCCTTATTGTCATATAGCTGGGTTATTGGTTTTCTACTCTGTCTAGATTTTTCCATCCCTAGTTAATATGCTGAATTTTTCTCTTCTTCTTCAGCCCTTTTACCCGTGCCCTTATTTCATTACTCTTTTTTTCTCATAATAGAGTTTTCCTAATTCATTTTCTATATGTTTTACATCTTGTAATACGTTATTATTATTTTTATCATTTCATGTGTCTATAATACTGTTTAGCTGAATTATATTTTTTTCTATATTGCTGATTTGCTCGTTTTTATTCCAAGTCTTTGTTTTACAATAGCTGATTGTCTGGTCTCTCACTTCAATTTTGAAGTTATCCCACAGATTATCAAGATCAGTTTTCATTTTTGCTTTATGTTTATAATTTCTTATCATTTTCATAATTATTTCAACATAGTCGTCATTTGGTAGTACACTACTATTCAGTTTCCAGTATCCCCTTCCTTTTTGACCTCTGTTTAGATTGATTTTTAAAGAAACACAGTAATGGTGTGGTCTGTGTATTGTAATACAATTGGTCTGATATCACATGAAACACAGTTTTTGAATACTTCAGGAGCTAATAAAATATAAGATATTCTTGTTGACTCTAATCTATTTTTTCTACCCCATGTAAATTGAATTTTATTTGAATTTCTGTTCCTCCGCATATCATTGAGCTTAAGGGACTTTATTAGTTTAATGGACTTTTTTTATATTTCTGTGTTGCTTAATTTTGCTATTTGAATCAATTTGGGATACAATTTCATTATAAAATTTCAATTTAATCTCCTCCTAGAATTAGTTGACCCAAACCGTTTTCTTCAATTACTGCATGGACAGTTTTGAAAAGTATGGTTTTGCATAAATATTACCTATCGTTATTATAGTATCATTTATTTCAATATTAGCGAGCAAAAGTCTTCCTACATTATCTTTATAGTCATCAATAATTTTAAAGTTTTATTTTTTTTTGCCATATGACAATACATCTTGAATTGCCTGAACCATTAATTAGGAAAAGTTTGCCTTCAAATTCAGAAATAAATTTGTCATCAAATTATCTGTAAATGTGATTCTTGCATAAGAAGAATGCCACATTTATGTAATTTTGACAATTCAATCAATCTTTTTCTTTTATCAGGTTACTGTAGGCCTTTACAGTTAACTGTAAAGATATGAAGACTTTGTTTAATACCATAGTTGGCGAGTAATTAATTTACATGTAACAACTTTTATATTTAGTATGCATAGGGAAATCCCCGTTCTGATAACAATGTCATTAGTTGGCTTTCACAGAGACTATACATAGACCTCTTTTTCGTTGTTTAATTTTTATCCCTATTCCCGCTTGTAAAAGAACAACCTTTATCTATGAATCGACTTATACTTTGTCTTATACATTGGCACAAACTAGTTATTATTCTATTATATCTGAATCTCAGTGTGTTTTATAATCATTACCAGATAAGAGAGTTGGGAACAGCCATTCCCTATGGATGCAATGACAAAATTGATGGTGTAGGTATTTTGTCTAGTCCAAGGTGTAGTACTGTCAATAAATTACAATTATTTAACACTTCTGTTCGACGAAATAGAAGTCGTGGTCACAGAAACTATACACCACCTGCTGTTCACACCGTGACAATTGATAGTCTGTTATCGTCTGTTCAAAAACCTATAGGCATTCACCATATAAATTATACTCCATTCCATTATCTAAACATTATTTACTATTTCAAGAGGCCCAAAATACTTCCGTCATTGATTCTAATTCTGTTTTGTATAGATTAGTTTCAATAGTCATGGACATTGCTAACCATAGACTATTCAAACCCGTAACAACAACTTCCAAAAATGAGGAAAAACGTAATTTTTTTAAAGTAGAATTCGCCAATAAAGGTTTAGATTATATCAATATTAGCAATATTTTCCATCAGAAATCTGTACAAAAAACTATAAGTGATTACTTCAAAAATAAAGCTACACCTGTAATTTCATATACTTACACCAAGTCTATCGCATCCAAGATTTTCAACCATAAGAGGGTTTTAGAGGCCTTTAACCTCAAAGATGTGAAATCCAAACCTCCGGATTGCTCATGTGCATCGTCAAAATAAAATTATAGTCCAGCTGGTCATGTTATTACTGGCGACTGGAATCTTTACCGATGAACAACTAAGAGAGTTGTTAGCCAAGGGACCAAAATATGAATTCCCCAGCCCATCAACTGGAAAAAGAACTTAAGGTTACTGATGGATGCAGTTGAGGACTATGCTAGAAAATGGGTAAAGCGCAAACCAGACGAACCAGAACTGGACACTTTGTCTGAATGGTTCAAAGCTATTCGATCATGCATTCAGAAGCGCATTCAGAAACTACGATGTACTATGAGCACAAGGGTTTCTAACCCATCCAAGTACCCGGAGATTGTGGATGTTTTATCCTCTTTGCATGACAAATATGTCGTTGTTCCAGAAGATAAAGCCTCCAATAATATTTTGTCTTCGTATGTAAAAACCATTATTTGCAATGTCTCAAAAAAAGAGATTGGAATTAACAGCACAACTAGTAATCCTACATATTCATTAACATCATTAACAAAGGATATAATTTTACAAAATCACAAATCTGTCCTTCTTTCATTTGGTATTAACATCAAAGAAAACGAAGAAAATCTACCACATTATAATGGATATCAAAACCTTACAAAACTCCGTATAAAGAACGATACATAGCTGGATCATCAAGATGTTCGACTAAACATCTTTCTAAAGTGTTGACTACTATTCTTTCTACAGTAAAAGATGGCCATCAAAAATATTGTGATGAGATATATTCAACCAGTGGTGTCAATCAGATGTGGATTCTCAAAACCTCTAATGATCTACTGCTAAATGTCAGATCACAATCTCTGCAATTTTGCAGCAACATAAAGACCTTTGGTTTTTTTACGCTTTACACTACTATTCCCCGTGCTCAATTGAAAGATAGACTTCACCATCTCATTACACAGAGCTTTTTCTATGAAAATGGGAATCGTAGATATAAATTTTATGTTTTGGGTTATAATAATTCTTATTTTGTGAAGAACCACACTGATTCTATCAGAAAATATACTGAAGATGGTATTATCAAAATGCTGGACTTTTTAATCGACAATATATTTGTTGAGTTTGGAGGATTGATATTTCAACAGGCAGTCGGTATTCCAATGGGTACTAATTGTGCATCCCTTCTGGCCGACATGTTTTTGTACTCGCATGAAGCAGAATTCATTCAGAACCTTCTAAAAGACAAAAATAGCACCTTGCAAAATTCTTTAATTTTACTTCCAGATATATTGATGATGTCCTATCACTGAATAACCCATATTTCAGTCAGTACTTACATCTCATATATCCCAGTGAACTTGAAATTAAGGATACTACTGATACAAGAAGGACTGCTTCATACCTTGATCTTTTCCTCAATATTGACACAGATGGACGACTTCACACGAAAATCTATGACAAACGGGATGATTTCAACTTCCCAATTATCAATTTCCCATTTCTCAGCAGTAACATAGTACCTTCTGCTCCGTCGTATGGTGTTTACATATCTCAATTGATACGTTATCCTCGTGCATGTTCACATTATACTGACTTCATATACAGGAGTGTGCTCCTTACGCAGAAACTGCTCCAACAGATTTATGAGGAGGAAAGATTAAAAATGACACTCCGTAAATTTTATGGACGATCTATACGATGTGTCTGTGTCTAAACTAACTAATGACATTTTACCACGTCTTAGATTGTGGTTTAACATCTATGTCGTCTGTACCGAACGTGACCTATTCCCGAATATGACTGTTATACCGAGTTTGAAATTGCATTGCTATACGACGTGTCTCGGTATTTTGTACATCCAAATTCATGTATTTATTTTTGATGTTTCTTTTATGGTTTCGGTTGGATAATCTCTTATGTCTTATCGTTTGTAGTCCAAATGATTATATAATTGCCTTTCCACAACATCATTGTCATGAAAATTGTTTGGATGAGTATTGTGAAAATAATTGTATAACGTTCGAGATTGCATGTTAGTTACGTAAGTGCGTCACTTATGATATCCTGTGGTATCTGTCGTTGATGGATTATGTTCGTTGTTGTTCTGCGGTTTGCATGTTGTGTCGACTATTATATCATGTGTTTGTGCTGTATTTCTGTCACGTAGTGTTGTCATTTTAGCGATATTTTTTAACATTGTCATAAAGCGGGAGGTTTGGCTAGCCATTAAACCAGGTTCAACCCACCATTTTTTCTTAAAATGTCCTGTATCAAGTCAGGAATATGGCAGTTGTTATCAAATAGTTCGTTTCTATGTATGTTGGCGTTTGTTTTTGTTGTACTTCAGTGTTCCTGTTGTTCCTTTGTTTTCCTCTTATAGTTGATGTGTTTCCCTCGGTTTCAGTTTGTAACCCGGATTTGTTTTCTCTCAATCGATTTATGACTTTTGAACACCGGTATACTACTGTTGCCTTTATTTACTATTATCAACTTTGTAAATAATGTTTATATACAGTATTAAGTTTTTACCTGTATATTTATTTAAAGTCTTTCTGCAAAAATGTTCTAATTGACATTCTGCATATTTCGTTTTAATGGCTTTACATGTGTTTTACATGTGTTCACAAGTAAAGTGTTAGCACAGTTAGTTTCTGTTGAAAACATACGATTAGAAGTTATATTCAAAGATAAGAAAAATACATTGTTCTCTTTTACCCCATAGGTTATCATTTGGATAATCCAAGTGACTTCAAAAACAAACATTGACATGTATATCATAATTTGAGTACACTCAGTGTTTGTTGGAATTAAGCAAATACAAGTATGTATGCACTTCATCTTGAAATACATATTCAAAACACATATAAAAAGAATAATATGTATATGCCTGAATATATACATATAGCAAATAAAAACAATTTTGCACTTGGTACAAAAGTATAAGATAAAATTGAGAATGGAAATGGGGAAAAAGTCAAAGAGACAACAACCCGACCAAAGAGCAGACAACAGCCGAAGGTCATCAATGGGTCTTCAATGCAGCGAGAAAATCCCGCACCCGTAGGTGGTCCTCAGCTGGTCCCTAAATAAAATTGTGTGCTAGTTAGTGTTGCTAGAATAGTTGTATGTACAGTGTACTGATCTGATCTGTTGATTATATTCACATTTACATTAAGTTTGTTTTGCTTTTTATATGTATCAGAGTTTAAAGTTTGACAAATGAATTAGTTTGAAAAATTGTTTGCTTAAATCCCTAATTTTTTGCTTTACCTCCAAATTGTGTTTGGTTAAAAATGTCTTATCTTTATTTTTAGAATAAGAAGATGATGACTGATTTTGACTGATGATATATGACCATATCAAAGAAAATTAGCTTGCAAAAAGTTGAACTTCAAATGATATGGAAGAAATCTGAAATGTACAATAATAGCTAGAATTATGTACAGTAAAAACTGAGAATGGAAACGGGGAATGTGTCAAAGAGACAACAACCCGACCAAAGAGCAGAAAACAGCCCAAGGCCACCAATTGGTCTTTAACACAGCGAGAAAATCCCGCACCCGAAGGCGGGCTTCAGCTGGCCCCTAAACAAAAATGTGTATTAGTTCAGTGAAAATGGACGTCACACTAAACTCTGAAACATATAAATGAACCAATTGCATTTTTTTTGTAATATATAATAAAATAGAATGTTACAAAGTTCATTATTGAGTATAACACAAGAATATAAACTGTTTAAAAAGTATTTACATCTAATTATATTCAATAGAAAAACACATTGATATCAAACTTCTACTCCAGTAGTATAAATGGTCGCTTTTGTAGATATTCTGCTTATTCTCCTTGATAAGCTAAAAAAAAGAGTAAAAAACCAACATTATATTCATAATCTATTATCATGGTAAATAAAACAGTTTCACATAAATTAAAGATGCCAAGTTACAGTTCTAACAATATTTACTTTATCATATAATATATATGTCATATTTTAGCCAGACTATATCTTTAGGAGCGGTTACGGTCTTTTAACTTTGAACAAAATGGAATAGGAAAAGGAAATGTTTAGGGAAATGGTGCCATACAAACATGTTAAAATTTATAATAATCTTGAGGCATATATTACATATGTTCTGAATCTCCCATCACATTTCTTCGTTAGATATCCTCTTCCCTTTAAATATCACTTAAAAGTCAAAGCGGACACCATTTTGAAACTGAATTAACTAAATGATTTAACGCCATTATATGTACTTTAATTTTGATTTGGAAACTTAAGTGTTCATTAATGAAAGAACTGGTAGACCTACAAACCCACAACAAACATTATATACACAATGAATATGACCACGACTTTCTCCAAGGAAGTAAAAAAAAATTTTTTTTAAATAAACGTAGATACCTGTACATGGGAATGACCAATACCCAGTTGAACCCCATCCTGTAGAAACTGCAATATTTCTAATATTGAATGGGTTTGAAGTATCAGTCCATTCCATGATTTTCGCTTTCCATTCATCATCAACTCTAATATGTTCCTTGCTCCAGTTAATGTAAAATGTCCTATATTCATTTTGTTTGAGTACTGGTCCATAATGTGTTGTCAATGCTATGCCTTGTTTCCGGTCACGGATGACCGACTTGGAGTTAGCCCAACCACCCAATACTATTTCATAAAGAGGTTCTTGGTCAGTATTCGAAGACAGTAAAGCTACGTGTGCATCGTTGCTGGCCTTAACCATGAACTTAATATTACCGGTTTCTTTATTGCCAATATCAATGCCATAGTCTGACAACAGTATGTATTTATACAGGTTTGGGGTTTCAATACTTGATCCATGACAACCTGTTAATATAACCCCAAAAATACAATAATGTATCAGATTTCGAGTTGCTTACATCTATCTCATTTGGGGATTTGGTAGATAGTCATCTCAATGGAATTCATACCGCATTGTTTTATCTTTTTTATGCAGTTTTCAACTTTTTTCTTTTAACCATACTGATGTCTCTTCTTCTTTAAATTCTGAATTGTTTTATTGTTACCTTAGAATTATTTTAATAATTGTATCTTCGTACCACGTCCACGAACAAATTTTACGAAAAAGACAGTTCAATATTTCAGTACTATTCTTTGGAACAGTATTGCTGTAGAAACAAAAAGTTACAAAGGTATCATAATTTCTTGTTTTTAGAACAACATAGCTAATTATAAGATTCATATACAACATATAAGATCAATGAAATAATTATAACAGAAATGATCTGTAGTCTCAAAATCCATATATTTGTTTTGTACATCATTAAGGATTTATGTTCATTAAACGTAACACTTAATCTGTATGTTTTTCACCATTTGTTTACATAGTTAGTTCGCAGACACAAATACTAGTAATATCAAATCACTGGCTAACGAGATGATGGGCTTGGAATGAATGACATTCGAGCATCATAAGCATGATGGAAACAAAACAAGAAGAACGCGACAGAACAATCAAAACCGCTAAGGGTACACCTTGCATGATTAAATTGCAATCTAAATCTTAGGAACATATACTAGATTATCTTCATCTTAAAGTACGAATATAGAATATATATTTCGATTTTAACGCTAATAAATATTAATACAGTCGTGGACTTCGTCTTTACAGTAAACATAATTGAGAGTGATGTTAAAGGTAAAAATATAACACAAAACGTCAAAATAAGCATTGTAACCCTAAAATGTCGATTTTTCTGTATGTTTTGCACTATAGTATGGTAACAGATTGCTTAATACACCTTAACGGAAGTTGGAAACACTTAATTAAATTATATTAATCAAATGGAAAAATGTATCAACAATATATCAATTTTTAAGAAAAATCTATGCGTTTGTTATTTGAGATTTGATGATTTTACGAATTTCAAAACGTTTTTTGCCGATTTTCAGTTTAAGTTCAACAAACCAAGTTGAAAGTTGTATGTATATACATAGATTTTGTTTTACCAAAATCCGTGAATTAGCCCACTTACGATACCTTAGGCTAAAATCAACTTGATGTTTAGCTTTTTCATGCCCATTTGGTTATATACCCCTTTTATTCTACAGGTTTAGATATCCCAATTTCTTGAAATTAGATTTCCTGGTGAAGTTCAATCTCTGCAGATATGAACGGATAACTAATCAAGAATATAAAAAAAGAATGGCAAACATTTTGTATAGAAAATAAAAAACTCAATTGTTTTGGTTAATCTCTGATACTTATCTTTTTATTTTTAGTCCTTTCATTGCATACATAAATCCCTTATAATTAATATTACTGTTAAATGTAATTATACCTACCTGGATGCTTCGATACAGCTGATGAGACAAAATATGTAAGGGAAAGTATAACAGCAAATGTGTTCATTTTATCGTGTTGTCTGTATAAAACTGGGAAAAGTTTCTCGGGCTTCAACTTATGTATTAGTTGCGGTCGTATCTTGTTACATGTACGTATGTAAAGACAAGATTCTTAATATAACAATAAGCACCTGAGGGTTATTAAATATATTATAATATTATGTAATGTACTTTTCGGGTTTATAAAAGAATCCAGAAAATAAATTAAGACGATATTTTGAGTTGTCATAATAAGGATATGAAATGATAGATTGATATCTTAATGTAAACATGACCATATTAATTATAATTACACGATATGTAATTCAAACGTATAAAATATATTTGAAAACAAAACAAATTTTGTTAAACAACCAATTTAACTAAAGGTTCTCCGTAGTAAGGAAGCAATTACATAATTATGAAATTGAATAACACTGTTATAGTTTTTTAATTGTATCAGTTACATGGTTTAAACCATGTTAGAACAACAGATGGTGACCACGGAAAATAACTGTCCACGAATACGCTGTTCCTTTGTTTTTTGCATGTTTTTTGTTGTTGTGCATTTACTGATTTTGTGAGGATGAAATTTGAAAAAAGGCAGGACAGAAGTTTTGAGTAAAAAAAAAGGCAGGATGAGCAACTTGGCAAAAAAAAGGCAGGATGGCAAATTATGTATAAAAAGTCAGGATAAACTAATAAAAAAAAAGGCAGGACCGAATAAAGTGAAAAATAAAAAGGCAGGACCGAGATTACAACTAGAAAAAATGCAGGACACAATTTTTCATCCTAGCTCCTGACTTGGGACAGACACATAGAATGTATCATAATGTTTAACATGTTAGCGGGCGAGTTTCCTTAACCTAGGACAGTGGTGCTACAGCACAACACTTACAAAACAATAAACGAAAAACAAATATGATAAACAGCAACAAACCACAACTATTATGTTTGCGGGCGACAAAATTGATTAACCTTCAAATAACCTGGGACAGTGTTTTAACAGCGCGACATAAGAACAAACTATAAAAATCGGTTGAAAAGGGTAAACACATCAGATCGATACAAGGCACAAAAACAAATTAAAAAAAAGGCACACAAAAGACACAAAGTGCCGATCTGAGAGTAAAAGAAGTTACTGAAAGCTAGTTCAAAGCCAATGACAACTAATTAAAACATCGTGTGTTTAAGACAAAAATAGCAATCTGCACAGAGGATTTAGTGTAAAGATGTCATTAACAGTCCGGTGTAAAGCAATACTATTTAATTTGGAGTTAATTTATTGATAACAAAATCAATATTTATACCGATAAAAACGATTATCAATTATCTAATTACAGTAAAAAATTAGTAACCTTTTATAAGAAATTCATTCAAAGGATCGATAAGTTTACTCGGATCGTATTCAAATTTAAGAATAGTTTGAATATTTTAAAGGAATGAGTTACATGATACTGTATGCTCCAGGAATATTCGTATCGTGTATCCAATGTCTTTTAAAAACGATCTTTCATGAAGCACAAGGAATACGACACAGAAATCCTACTTGATATCAAACATTCCAGGTGTGAAAGGCCCAAAATTTGTTAAAGACAGAAACAGAATTTATTTGCACTGGTTGCGTTGACTTTTTAGTTTGCCTTGTTATTTAAGTTAAAACATTAGATTTAGCCTGAATTCGGTTTTCTCAATAATTTGTTACATGTATGTCAAAAGACTAGGACACTTCTCTATTGTTTAAGACTTTAATATGCTGCCCTCTTGTTGTCTTTTGGTTATTGTTTTGCCTTTTTGGTTGCTGTTTTTTAACATATCCTTTAATTCACAGTTTAAAGAATATTCTATGAAATACTATATGCGAATACGTATATAGTAAATGTAAAGAAAATTAAAGGACAATGTGCATTAGTTCAAGACACAATATCACTACACACACAAAAAAACTACGCTTTTTTCTTGTTCTTCGTCTTAAAGTCAAGGTTGGACTGTTGTAATCATGTTGTGAATACAGACATAGAAAAAAAAAAAATTGAGGATACATTTTTTTAATGATTTAAACGCCCAAATACCGATGAGATCCAACCAACGTGAGCTAAATGGTAATTTATCTGGAGCCTGCTGGGTCTTTGTATGCCTTGTATGCCTATTGGTATGCATCGACCATGCATTATAAACATTAAAAGTCCACCTCCCGAAAACATGTTTAGTGTTGTACGTTTACATTTTATATAGAAATGTTTGTCAAATACTGGACGGGCACAAGACTAGTATTTTGCATCGGCTCCATATAGCCCGACAGTCCCATTTACGTCCCATTATAGTTACCACCAAGACCTAATTAATTTCTGCAAAAAAAATTACTTTTCCATTTAAAGTATGTTACGTTTTTACAAAAATACTTTTCTTATCAATTAATTTAATACTTAGTCATTTAATGCTAATATCTAACATGGGTGTACTGCTTGAGTAGTTGAGTCAGTTTGCTAACTTATATTAAACTCAACTTTGCTCATTCGTAGAAAAAAAAATATCAGTGTGAATGTTGGAACCTATTTTAGAGACAAGCATTGATTCGTATTTAAATATTAACCGCACATATGGGACGTTCATTCCGATCCACAGACCTAGAGAGCCATTTTTGATCGGCGAGTGATCACTAGGCTGTCAACTCCGTGGTTTTGAATTCGAACTCCGCTGGGACTAGTATGGCTTCTTTTAACACCGGCCGCATTGATGTAGTCGAGTGTGTTAAAAGTGGCGTTAACACAAACAATAATTTTGTTTTAATGTTCTTTGGCGTAGTTCATTTGGTTTCTTTATTTTTAGATTAATCAAGTTCCGCCTTAGATATTTAGATCTGATATCATATTCATAAAAAAAATTTAATAGAATTGGTAACTTTGAGGCTTGTATAGGGTATATTGGGATACGGGATATTTGCCATTTTAATTTTAGGGATATGGGATATTTGTCCTCAAAGTAAATGGGATATGGGATATTGATGCATTTTTAAGGATATTGAATTTTGAACATGAAAAAAAATAAGTGGAATTTAAAAGTTAAGTACAGAAATATTTACATCTCACTGCATAAAATTGCCAAAAAAATTTAATATATAAGGTCATTTTAGTGCTTTGTTGATTTTCATTGAGTTTATGGTCGTTTTATTTAAAAGTCATCCAAACCCACCCAAGCAAAAAGTATTGATCTATTTTCGATATTTATATGCTCATATGTACTGATAATTTTAAAAGTATTTGTTTTGCTTTCCATACTTCGTTCCTTATTGTTAATTTTCCTTTTTGGGATGGTGATGTTCTATTGGCACTATCTTACGGTGTTTGCATATCACAACTCTTTCGCTATGCCCGTGTCTGTTGTAACGTTTTTGGATTTTAATGAACGTAATCTATGTATCACGGGTAAATTATTAAGGCAGGGAGTTCGTTACCACAAATCACTTAAAATCTTTACTAAATTCTTCCGTAGATATAAAGATTTGGTTTTGAAGTTTGGTTGTACCTGTAAAAAACTTATTTCAAAACGGGATAGCACATTCTCATTTTTACGGAGATGTTGTTTACCGTGCCATTGGATGTTGGATGTGTAATGATTGATAATTTAGTCTTAGATGCATGATTTTTTTTTTATTAGTTGTTATTGGCTTTGAACTAGCTGTCAGTAACTGCGAGTACTCTCAGATCTGTACTTAGTGTCTTTTTGTTGATGGGATGCACAAGTACTCGGTCACGTCTGTGTTTTTGTTACATGTTTTTCTATTTGTATCTATCTGATGAGTTAAGCCTTTTTCAACTGATTTGTATAGTTCGTTCTTATGTTGTACCGCTAACATGTTTAACCCCGCCACATTCTGTATGTATGTGCCTGTCCAAAGTCAGGAGCCTGTTATTCAGTGGTTGTCGTTTGTTGCTGTGTTACAGATTTGTGTTTTGTTCATTTTTTTTATACATAAATTAGGCCGTTAGTTTTCTCGTTTGAATTGTTCTACATTTGTCATTTCGGGACCTTTTATAGCTGACTATGCGGTATGAGCTTTGCTCATTGTTGAAAGTCGTATGGTGACCCATAGTTGTTAATATCTGTGTCATTTGGTCTCTTGTGAAGAGTTGTCTCATTGGCAATCATACTACATCTTCTTTTTTATAATATATGCTCATATGTATTGATAATTTTCTTGAAATAATCATAGATTATATATTGTTGTCAATATTTTTATTTATTTTGATGCTTTATATGATTACGGGATATTTTCTGTTGTTTCACCTCTTATTTTTTACGTGCCGAGGATCTTCAGCGGTCTTTACGTTTCACAGATTGTAATAGATTATGGACCAAGGGTAGTCCGAAATTGCTCTGATGTGCAACGGCTGTTTTGCCAGACAAGCTGGGGCCGTGGGACGTCAGAGCACGTCCAATAATAAAAAAGTGGATATTTAGCCGTACAAAATGGATGCCCCCTTTGAATTTGAAATTATCTGTTAAATAGCTTTTTAAAAGGTTAAACTAGAATTATTACTAAATAATCAATGTAATCTTTTCTTCTATTACTGTTTGTTTGTGGAAGGAAATTAGAAAAAGGAACAAAAATATTGTGATCTATGAAATTCATAAGTTCAAGATCACATCGTCAAATTTTGTGTTATTTCTTTGCAAATTTTGCTTGCTGTAAAAATATTGCAATAGTTAAGTTTAATGTAGGTGCATTAGCAGAAAGCTTTCTTGTGTTAAATTTTGAGTTTTTGTACTTGCATGCTAAATTTCCACTTTTCGATATGGGCGTGCTCTGACGTCCCACAGCCTCAGTTTGTCTGGCAAAACAGCCGTTGGATGTCAGAGCAATCTCGGACTAGAGACAGGGTTGCGTCCTTCTGTTCTTTCCAACATAGGTTAACGTGCAGGATGAAGTTTCTTATCAATGAAAGAAGAATGCTATCAAAATGAAATGTTACAGACATATGCATCATGGTTTGAACAATTAAAAAAAAATGCCTGAAATTAGACCCCTTACACCAAATTTATCGTTTATGATCACATAAAAAGAGATTGTTGTACAACGCTCTAAGATGGAACACTTCATCTTTTGGACACATTTTCTTATTTAACACTGGAAGTATGCACTGTAAATTTCCTTTACCACAGTTTGTTTTTCTCTTTATATTCTAGTTCAACAAGGAATATAATTTTAATCAAATGTTAGTATTTTGAATATAAATAATATAATTTGATCATTTTTCAGTCAAAATTGTTGAAGTTGAGCCAAAATCCTTATCAGAAGTGATGATGAGAAAAAAATGGGTATGGGAATGAATGCATAATGATTTTTTGGGATATTTCAAAATAGTTTTAGGGATATGGGATATTTGTATAAAATATTTATTGGGATATTAGGGGTAAACATTATAGGGATATGGGATATTGGGATAAAAATTTAATGGGATATGGGATATTGATACCCCCCTAAACAAGCCTCAACTTTCAAGAAAACAAAAAATGGTGAAAAATATAACATTTGAAGTCTGTATAAAAATTATGAATACAATCTCGAAAAACCAATTCATATGATTTTACTGTCAATTAGTTCTTTGTTCCTTTTAGCCTCTTCTTCGTCTACTTTTTGTGGTTCATTGATAGTCCTGACCTTAATCTTTGACTTCGTAGGCAAGCCTGCTGAAACTGGAGGTTTTATATAATCAATAGGTTCGCGAGGTTTTTGAAATAATATCCTTTTCTTTTTAGCAAATAAGAGTAGATAACCTCCAATCAAACCACATATTACTGTAGGAAAAAATAGTAATATGAAACACCACGAAGGACTATCGGAATCTGGGGTCATCACAAATGTTATAATGAATGAAATGATTGCAAGGAAACTGGAAGCAGCTGAAAATGGAAAAACAACTTTTTAAAAATATATGTAACGGTTAGTCAATGGAAAGGTATATACTATGAAATTTAGAGCAAGGAGCTAAGCCCCGAACACTTAATACATTATATAATTATAAATTATTCATAATTATGTATTCAACAAGCAAATTCAAAACACTACACAGCCTACCGAAACTATATTTATAAGAAAACAGTCATATAATTATAATTCCAACAAACTAACTTAAAGGTTGAAGGTAATCTATACTACTATATGATATTATTTTTCCAGTAAGATTATATTAGGAAAATTTCAAACCAAATCTTAACAAATTGTGTATAAGTAGGGAAACAGGTAGCTTTTCATAATTTTTTATTTAAAATTGTATGAATTTTAAGAAACGCTATTGCTATTACTGAAAAAGGTTGTTCTAGACTTAATTTACTGTCGGTTAATTGTAACTTACCAGAGACAAAGAATGCTATAATGTTGACAATTAAGGCAGGCCTAGACATAAGTTTTTTTAATGCCATTAAAACAAATAAAAAAGAGCCGGCCATGGCGGTTAATACACCAATCATTCCAAAAGTTTGTGTCGCTTTCAGTGCACCTAAAATGTATAATAACATGTTTGTTAAGAATGATTTATTTGAAATTTTTCGAAATACTAAGGATGTTCTTGCTCAGGAAAAATTTGCCTTTTCTATATTTGGCAAAACTTTTCAATAATTTTGAGTCCTCAATGCTCTGCAGCTTCGTACTTTATTTGGCCGTTTTAACTTTTTTTATTCGAGCGTCACTGGCGAGCCTTTCGAGACGAAACGCGAGTCTGGCGTACAAAATTTTAATCCTGATATCTATGATGAGATCATTTGCAACCACTGGGTCGATGCCACTGCTGGTTGAGGTTTCCTCCCCAGGGGTATCACCAGCCCAGTTGTCAGCACTTCTGTGTTGACGTGAATTATCATTGATATAGTCATAACTATAAATTAACAGTTAACAAAACTTTGACACTTTTCGAAATACTAAGGATTTTTTTAACCCAGGAATAAATTGCCTTATCTGTATTTGGCAAAATCTTTCGGAATTTTGAGTCCTCAATGCTATTCAATTCGTACTTCATTTGGTCGTTTTAACTTTTTAGATTCGAGCGTCATTGATGAGACTTTTGTTTTGTCTGGCTTACAAAATTTGAATCCTGGTATCTATGATGAGTTTATATGCAATGATTTAACTGTGCATCATATGTTGCCTTCTATTTTGGAAATGCACAAAAAACGTGGTATGGGAAGTACTTTTGTATTATAATTTATAAATGATCTTTCTTAAATATGGCGAGTCTCATTAAACAAAACGAAATTATAAAGCAGTCACAAATTCAAATACCTATCAAAGAGAACAAACGTTTTCGACAGGAACATATTTCGCCTCACTGATGTTTAATTTAATATTTGTGTATGAAATGTATACAGTGTTTTTTAAACAACGTTTTCCTCATACATTTTTTGTCAACTAGTCCGGAAGGAAATGAGGAGAATATCGGATATAATAAAACACCCCTCGAATAAAATTATCCACATATTTCAAAAGATAAGTCATAAGACATGTTCATGAATGACACATGTGCTGAACGTTTCTTGAACATGTCTTTGCGCTGACGCCAAATACTGAAAGTTTTTTGCTACTCTTTGCTTATATAATGTACAATTAAAGACTAATAAAAAAAGACCCACCTGAACTTGTACTGGGAGTCCAATCAAGACAAACTGTGTTTCCTGTGTTCATTGCAGTACATTTTGACCAAAGTCCAAAATAGACTGATGTTGTTATTCCGAGAGAAGAAATACTAAACACTCCCCAATACGGTGCTACCATTGCAATGACATGTAGTATTAGAGAAAGAACGGAAAAACAGGAAAAGCCAGCTACCCAGTTTGGACGAATGTACCATTCTGGAGGTGTGGGTAGAAACATGTTTTTGTAAGAGTTTTAATCCTCACATAAAATAGTATAATAAAATCTGTATACAAAAGTACGCGTAGATAATAGTTGATTCAATCGCATGTATTGTGTGTTGCGTATTTCATTGATCAAATATCATGTAAAAATTGAAAGTTTTAAAGTTCAAACGCAGCTTTACAATGTTATTCAACCAATAACTGTTAACAATAAAAACTTAAAAATCAAGTCATTTATAATTCAAGTGTTAAATTTTGACCTCAATAGTATACATATTTTCTTTAAATACAGGATAGTATTGTTTTATTCTTTAATTGAATGACATAGAAAATATAGTGACATTTTGAGAAAATATTGGAGTGACTGATTGGTATCGGTTTAACGCCGCGTCAGCACAGAACAACAAGTATGTTGCGAAGATTTTTTTTTTATATCAGAATAGAATTATTAAAATTTGAAAAAACAGACCCATCACATATATAATAAGCTGCATGTTTAAAACAACATGGCTAGTCGCAATTGAAAGATTTGAGTGATGTTTGTTTAACGTCCAGTTGCAAATAGTTCATATATTCTTGGGACGAGAATAAACCGCACAACCAAAAAAAAAAAAGATTCTATCCTTATTGAAGTATTTTTACGAACATCTTTAATATCTATACATTCTATGTATACCTGTTTGTTGAATGTTGAAATTGTAAGGTATAAATTCAAATTGGGGTATATTTGTTTAAGACACATTCAAATGCTATACTAGCATGACAGATACGATATCCGAATATAACAGACTGGTCTTTCTGACGTTTAAATTTATTAACCATATTTGGTACAAATTAATTCTCTTATTACAATGTACGAGTCTGTTTACTCAAAGCATTAGGCCCGGGAACACAGTTATTTCGTAGTGCATTTTTTTTAAACAATTAATGCAAATTTCAAAAATCGTACATCAGGCTGCTCTATCCCATTAAGATTATTACAGTGTAGTGTACTACTTTTTGTACAAATAAAAAAATCTATCAGTTCTAGCCCAAATATGGACAATTAGGTGTTAAGGGGGTCCATAATTCAGTTTGAAAGCTTCCGACATACTCATTTTTTACATTTTTCAAGTGGACTAAATCACTACTATCCATAAAAATTCATGCCCAAAATATTTTTTTTATATGTAATTTCATCCCCTGTCTATATTTTTTGGCATCATATATAAAGAAATAAACTATGAAGGATATGAAAAATAAATGGAGAATGTGTCATGGGACACAGATGATGCCCCCGCTTGCATATAACATTTTAAAGGGACATAACTCTAGAACGGTAAAAGTGACGCTACCCAAATTCGTACTTGATCTGTGTTTTGTGGTAATAAGCATTGTGTATAAGATTCATAACATTTGGTTGAGGCAAACTTAAGTTAGAGAACGGAAACGAAAAATTCAGCAATTTTTCCATTTGTAAAGGGGCATAACTCAAGAACGGTAAAAGTGACGCCACCAAAATTCAAACTTAATCTGTGTTTTGTGGTAATAAGCATTGTGTATAAGATTCAAAACATTTGGTTGAGGCAAACTTAAGTTAGAGAACGGAAAAGAAAAATTCATCATTTTTTTTCATTTATAAAGGGGCATAACTCAAGAACAGTAAAAGTGACGCTACCCAAATTCAAACTTGATCTGAGTTTTGTGGTAATAGGCATTGTGTATAAGATTCATAACATTTGGTTGAGGCAAACTCAAGTTAGAAAACGGAAACGTTTTCAATTTGAAAAGGGGCATAACCTATAGAACAGTAATAGTGACGCCACCAAAATTCAAACTTGATCTGTGTTTTGTGGTAATAAGCATTTTGTATAAGATTCATAACATTTGGTTGAGGCAAACTTAAGTTAGAGAACGGAAACGAAAAATTCAGCAATTTTTCCATTTGTAAAGGGGCATAACTCTAGAAAAGTAAAAGTGACGTCACCCAAATTCAAACCTGATCTGTGTATAAGTTTCATAACATTTGGTTGAGGCAAATTTAAGTTAGAGAACGGAAACCAATTTCGGGACGTATGTACGGACGGATGGACGGACACGGGTAAAACTTAATGCCCCCTCCGCTACGGCGGAGGCATATACATTTCAAGTTATACACTGGCCATACTGACTATTTGAAAACCAAAGGACGATAACTGTGTCCCCGGACGATAAGGTCTACAATCACAATACGCTGTATGAAAATCCAATTATTAAAAGCACTTTAGTGGTTAACATTAATGTTGAATAGGGGCAGATCGAGATCTGACCTCGCAATAGAGAGAGAGAAATCATGTAATTGTTTTATTCTGTACATCATTCATTTCTGTAATCAGTATTTTTCTTACCTAATTCTTTTAATTTTCCGTTATTCTTTAGCTCGTTTTTCTATTCATTATATTGTTGTCCATTATTCTCTATCCTGTAAACCTAATCCAGACCTTTATACATGGCCTTAGTCGTATTGGTAAATCGTTCTTTTTTAGAAAAAAAATTTGGCTTTCAATGCTCTTCAATCTTTAATTAAATTAACAGGATTAGTTTACCCGTCCAATTGTTTTGATTCGAGTTCAACTGATCAGTCTCATCCAAGTTTTTTTTTTCATAGAAAAGAAGCCAAATTACTTTACAAATATCTATGTATAGGATTTATTGTATTTTATTTGACCATGGTCGAAACAATGATTTTTTTAGTGTAAGAAGCCAACCGGAAGACTGGGGCTTGATAAAGTACGTGTCTTTAATATGACGTCGGTGATATGCCCAGATCAAAGAAACTGCGCTATAATAGCAGAGACATAATATATGTCTCTGATAATAGATAGCCTACTGCTTTTGTTCCCTTTTGTCTGTCATGCCTTATAGCAAATGCCAGTTACAACAATATATACATACAAATCATATATCTTCTGCAAGAGGACGGGAAAATATTTAAACTAAATGGTTTGGCTGTATAGTAAGACAATGAAGTTCTGTGAAAAAAAAAACTATTACTTGGACAAAATTTAAGGCAGCCAAATTTTCAAAGTAATTTATGATGATCAAGTGTTCTGAAGACGGAGTTTTCAATATAACAATTAAGTACAAAAATGTAGAAAACAGTGGTAATTATATGAACAATAATGAACTATGTCTATATTATGGACCATAATGTGAAACATAATTTAGGTTGCTATTTATTTTTATCTATTGTCATGTAATTACCTTATTGGTTTGTGAATTTTTTAAGAGACTTTTGGATACATTGCAAGCTGATTAAGTACAAATATGAATCATTTCTATCACAGTGCCTGTGGATTCATTATGATCCATGGGCTCTATGTTTTGGCTTTGTAAACAACCTTTACTTGCATCCACTACAATTGAACTTTGGGGGATAGTTGTCTCATTGTCAATCATATTAAAAATGTATCCAAGAAATATATCATTTAAGCCAAGTGTCAATAATATCATCATCGCCCACCTGTTCCTGAAAAATATCCTCTAAACACAAAATAATTTGGAGAAATGCACAAAATATGATTTTTTTTTCTGCTAAATCTTTTCACAACTTTTATTTCAAGGGACGAGTTAGATCCTGGATTATTGTATAGCAATTGTCTATTGTTGAAGAATGTGCGTCATCCCCAATGTGTCTGAAGGTTATTTTTGTCGTTGGGTTGCCATCTGATTGATGTATACCAAATATATCCAATAAACATGATACTGCTTGCCGTATTTCTGCAGTAACCTTCATCAGTGATCATCAAAACAAAGGACTTGAATAAAATAAGGACACAGATATGTGTCTCACCTGTATGTAATTTTGATAATACATGTGTAATGTATATATTTAGATTAAATCAGCAACAGGTTTAACATGTTAACTATGTGAAATTTTTTAAGTCAATGAACCATGACTGATAGAGAGGAGCCGTTTTATAGAAATTGAAATAAGATATGATAATACAACTGCAAACTTAATATCATTCACTTATCATTAAACAGACATGATCACAAACTTTACCATTTACTCTAAACAAACGTTTCTGTCAACAGACCATGATTGAGGGTGTGTTGCCAAATAATCTCCATGGAAATGAGATGTACTGATGCTATTACAACTGTATTCCACATTTTATTGACATATCATTAGTGGTTCCCCTTAAACTGACCTAATCACAAACTTTAACAAATAATTGACATCAACAACACCCAAAAGATACATAACACCCAATTCTTGTCTCTGTGACTGCATCGTGGTGAGACAAAAACTCTCCCCTATTTAAAAAAAATATTCTTTTGTAAATTTTTCAGAGGGAGTTTACGTCTTAATATTTTTTATATTGATATGGTTCCCACTGCACAAAACAGTCCAGGACATTCATTTATTTTTAGGGATGCTACTTTTGACTGTGAGCAATATTGTTTTATTCTTTAATTGAATGACATAGAAAATATAGTGACATTTTGAGAAAATATTGGAGTGACTGATTGGTATCGGTTTAACGCCGCGTCAGCACAGAACAACAAGTATGTTGCGAAGATTTTTTTTCTTATATCAGAATAGAATTATTAAAATTTGAAAAAACAGACCCATCACATATATAATAAGCTGCATGTTTAAAACAACATGGCTAGTCGCAATTGAAAGATTTGAGTGATGTTTGTTTAACGTCCAGTTGCAAATAGTTCATATATTCTTGGGACGAGAATAAACCGCACAACCCAAAAAAAAAAAAAAGATTCTATCCTTATTGAAGTATTTTTACGAACATCTTTAATATCTATACATTCTATGTATACCTGTTTGTTGAATGTTGAAATTGTATGGTATAAATTCAAATTGGGGTATATTTGTTTAAGACACATTCAAATGCTATACTAGCATGACAGATACGATATCCGAATATAACAGACTGGTCTTTCTGACGTTTAAATTTATTAACCATATTTGGTACAAATTAATTCTCTTATTACAATGTACGAGTCTGTTTACTCAAAGCATTAGGCCCGGGAACACAGTTATTTCGTAGTGCATTTTTTTTTAAACAATTAATGCAAATTTCAAAAATCGTACATCAGGCTGCTCTATCCCATTAAGATTATTACAGTGTAGTGTACTACTTTTTGTACAAATAAAAAAATCTATCAGTTCTAGCCCAAATATGGACAATTAGGTGTTAAGGGGGTCTATAATTCAGTTTGAAAGCTTCCGACATACTCATTTTTTACATTTTTCAAGTGGACTAAATCACTACTATCCATAAAAATTCATGCCCAAAATATTTTTTTTATATGTAATTTCATCCCCTATCTATATTTTTTGGCATCATGTATAAAGAAATAAACTATGAAGGTGTATGAAAAATAAATGGAGAATTTGTCATGGGACACAGATGATGCCCCCGCTTGCATATAACATTTTAAAGGGACATAACTCTAGAACGGTAAAAGTGACGCTACCCAAATTCGTACTTGATCTGTGTTTTGTGGTAATAAGCATTGTGTATAAGATTCATAACATTTGGTTGAGGCAAACTTAAGTTAGAGAACGGAAACGAAAAATTCAGCAATTTTTCCATTTGTAAAGGGGCATAACTCAAGAACGGTAAAAGTGACGCCACCAAAATTCAAAATTAATCTGTGTTTTGTGGTAATAAGCATTGTGTATAAGATTCAAAACATTTGGTTGAGGCAAACTTAAGTTAGAGAACGGAAAAGAAAAATTCATCATTTTTTTTTCATTTATAAAGGGGCATAACTCAAGAACAGTAAAAGTGACGCTACCCAAATTCGAACTTGATCTGAGTTTTGTGGTAATAGGCATTGTGTATAAGATTCATAACATTTGGTTGAGGCAAACTCAAGTTAGAAAACGGAAACGTTTTCAATTTGAAAAGGGGCATAACCTCTAGAACAGTAATAGTGACGCCTCCAAAATTCAAACTTGATCTGTGTTTTGTGGTAATAAGCATTTTGTATAAGATTCATAACATTTGGTTGAAGCAAACCTAAGTTAGAGAACGGAAACGAAAAATTCAGCAATTTTTCCATTTGTAAAGGGGCATAACTCAAGAACGGTAAAAGTGACGCCACCAAAATTCAAAATTAATCTGTGTTTTGTGGTAATAAGCATTGTGTTTAAGATTCAAAACATTTGGTTGAGGCAAACTTAAGTTAGAGAACGGAAAAGAAAAATTCATCATTTTTTTTTCATTTATAAAGGGGCATAACTCAAGAACAGTAAAAGTGACACTACCTAAATTCGAACTTGATCTGAGTTTTGTGGTAATAGGCATTGTGTATAAGATTCATAACATTTGGTTGAGGCAAACTCAAGTTAGAAAACGGAAACGTTTTCAATTTGAAAAGGGGCATTACCTCTAGAACAATAATAGTGACGCCTCCAAAATTCAAACTTGATCTGTGTTTTGTGGTAATAAGCATTTTGTATAAGATTCATAACATTTGGTTGAGGCAAACTTAAGTTAGAGAACGGAAACGAAAAATTCAGCAATTTTTCCATTTGTAAAGGGCATAACTCTAGAAAAGTAAAAGTGACGTCACCCAAATTCAAACCTGATCTGTGTATAAGTTTCATAACATTTGGTTGAGGCAAATTTAAGTTAGAGAACGGAAACTAATTTCGGGACGTATGTACGGACGGATGGACGGACACGGGTAAAACTTAATGCCCCCTCCGCTACGGCGGAGACATATACATTTCAAGTTATACACTGGCCATACTGACTATATTTGAAAACCAAAGGACAATAACTGTGTCCCCGGACGATAAGGTCTACAATCACAATACGCTGTATGAAAATCCAATTATTAAAAGCACTTTAGTGGTTAACATTAATGTTGAATAGGGGCAGATCGAGATCTGACCTCGCAATAGAGAGAGAGAAATCATGTAATTGTTTTATTCTGTACATCATTCATTTCTGTAATCAGTATTTTTCTTACCTAATTCTTTTAATTTTCCGTTATTCTTTAGCTCGTTTTTCTATTCATTATATTGTTGTCCATTATTCTCTATCCTGTAAACCTAATCCAGACCTTTATACATGGCCTTAGTCGTATTGGTAAATCGTTCTTTTTTAGAAAAAAAATTTGGCTTTCAATGCTCTTCAATCTTTAATTAAATTAACAGGATTAGTTTACCCGTCCAATTGTTTTGATTCGAGTTCAACTGACCAGTCTCATCCATTTTTTTTCCATAGAACAAATTTAAAGCCAAATTACTTTACAAACATCTCTGTATAGGATTTATTGTATTTTATTTGACCATGGTTGAAACAATGTTTTTTTTTAGTTTAAGAAGCCAACAGGAAGACTGGGGCTTAATCAAGTACGTGTCATTAATATGACGTCGGTGATATGCCAGATCAAAGTACCCCGGTAACTAAAGCCAGGCAAACACATTTTGAATTCGCGAAGCCGCGATTTGGGATTTTTCGGATAACTGAGCAGGGAAGACTGTTGACTGAGAATTATTAATTTTACACGCCTTGGATGTATTTTGACTCTAGTGGTATTTTGTATTGTCACTGAGAAATAAATCAGACTCGGCAAATCTCCACATTGTAGACAGCTGGACTACTAGGATATACATGTTCCTGTAACAGTTACGGGCAATAGAAACTGTCTCGAAATGAGTTTTCAAATTAGACAAATACTGCCGTTAGCTTTTTATACAATATGGTTGGGTAAAACGAGATGAATAAAACAAAGTTTTCAAACATATTTAAAATATAAGGCTTTAAATTCAGATGAAACTGCGCTATAATAGCAGAGACATAATATATTATGTCTCTGATAATAGATAGCCTACTGCTTTTGTTCCCTTTTCTGTCATGCCTTATAGCAAATGCCAGTTACAATATATACATACAAATCATATATCTTCTGCAAGAGGACGGGAAATATTTAAACTAAATGGTTTGGCTGTATAGTAAGACAATGAAGTTCTGTGAAAAAAAAACTATTACTTGGACAAAATTTAAGGCAGCCAAAATTTCAAAGTAATTTATGATGATCAAGTGTTCACAAGACGGAGTTTTCAATATAACAATTAAGTAGAAAACAGTGGTAATATATGAACAATAAAGAACTATGTCTATATTATGTACCATAACATGAACATAACTTAGGTTGCTATTTATTTTCATCTACTGTCATGTAATTACCCTATTTGGTTTGTGAATTTTTTTTAAGAGACTTTTAGATACATTGCAAGCTGATTAAGTACAAATATGAATCAAATCTATCACAGTGCCTGTGGATTCATTATGATCCGTGGGCTCTATGTTTTAGCTTTTGTTGCTAATTGAAAACAACCTTTACTTACATCCACTTCAATTGAACTTTGGGGGATAGTTGTCTCATTGTCAATCATATTAAAAATGTAGCCAAGAAATATATTATTTAAGCAAAGTGTCAATAATATCATCATCACCCACCTGTTCCTGAAAAATATCCTCTAAACACAAAATAATTCGGAGAAATGCACAAAATATGATTTTTTTTTCTGCTAAATCTTTTCATAACTTTTATTTCAAGGGATGAGTAAGATCCTGGATTATTGTATAGCAATTGTCTATTGTTGAAGAATGTGTGTCATCCCCAATGTGTCTGAAGGTTATTTTTGTCGTTGGGTTGCCATCTGATTGATGTATACCAAATATATCCAATAATCATGATACTGCTTGCCGTATTTCTGCAGTAACCTTCATCAGCGATCATCAAAACAAAGGACTTGAATAAAATGTGGACACAGATATGTGTCTCACCTGTATGTAATTTTGATAATACATGTATAATGTATATATTTAAATTAAATCAGCAACAGTTTTAACATGTTAACTATGTGAAATTTTTTAAGTCAATGAACCATGACTGATAGAGAGGAGCCGTTTTATAGCAATTGAAATAAGATATGATAATACAACTGCAAACCAAATATCATTCACTTATCATTAAACAGGCATGATCACAAATTTTACCATTTACTCCAAACAAAAGTTTCTGTCAACAGACCATGATTGAGGGTGTGTTGCCAAATAGTCTCCAAATAATACTGATGCTGTTAGAACTGTATTCCACATTTTATTGACATATCATTAGTAATTCCCCTTAAACTGACCTAATCACAAACTTTAACAAATAATTGACATCAACAACACCCCAAAGAAACATAACACCCAATTCTTGTCTCTGTGACTGCATCGTGGTTAGACAAAAACTCTCCCCTATTTAAAAAAAATATTCTTTTGTAAATTTTTCAGAGGGAGTTTACGTCTTAGTATTTTTTAAATTGATATGGTTCCCACTGCACAAAACAGTCCAGGACATTCATTTATTTTTAGGGATGCTACTTTTGACTGTGAGACCTTAAACTTGGGAACAATTATAATCAAATCATAATATTTCTTCCAAATACTTGAACAACTTGAGTCCACTGGTGGTCAGTAGCTTAGTACTTAAGTCCTCGGCAAAGAAAAAAATATATTGATTTCAAAGATTTAAAAAAAAAATTCTTTATCAGATGAAGTTTTGCAAAAGGGAAATAATTGGATTTTAAAACATGTATACAAATATTACAATTTCAAGGTATTTTTTTTCTCCAGTTTTCATAAATTTTAAATGCATTTCCAGACCTGGAAAGACAAACAAAGTTCCAAGCTTTTACCCCAGTTTTCAAGGCAGGATGGGAACCCTGTATGTAATGGCAAATAGGAAAACTATATCGTTTAGAGATAAATCAATTAATTCTGTAAATTCATAATTAAAACACCAAGGTTCATCATCAATAAATACATTTTGTTTTTCATTTCCTTCCAAAAATAACAACATTGTCTTCAAAACTGTAAACATTACAAAGGAATCAATCAAATTGTTCATGAGAAGCCCACAAAATGGAAGTTTATTACTCCATCTGCTTCAGTGTTCACTAATCATAAGTCATGCAGTAATCAAAATGTGTTAGGATAGTCTGATTTTATTGTAATATGGAATTTCAATGTCCTAAAATTTAAGATTCTGGAGAGCACAACACACAGTAGGAAATCATTACTTTATTATGATAACAATGACAATGAGAACAATTCCTGTAAAATGATAAGTCAGATTATTAGCACTATTTCTTTTGTTTCTTCTTTTCTGCTTCTTCTTCCTTTTCTTTTTCAATTTCAGCAATGTATTTTTCTATTTCATCTAATTCTAACATCTGAAATGGAAATCAAATTATAGATTATAATTTTTAAAAGACAGTTAAAAAGTCATTTAGTGAAGACAGAGTACTTGAAAACAACAATGTATCTTATGGACAGATTAGTTTATAAATTACATTCATTTTGCCATAAAATGTGGTTGTATCTATTCAGGAGTCACCACACTTCAGAATTCTAGGGAGAAATGAAGACCCAAAAGGGAGACTACAGGCTGAGGGAAAATGAAGGATCGCATTAATGCTTTTTATGAATTAAATTTCCAAGCATCTACATACTGTCTCGTTAATTTAAGGAGCCTTTTACTTGACAACTGTTAAAATATCATTTCCATGCCTTGTGGTCTGAATGAATTGATGAAGATATTGAGAAATAATACATTGATCAACTTTTACTGCATCTGACAGCCTTTTTCACACAAAAGTCAGTATAGATTTGCCTAAGATTGTGCTTCATGAAATAAATATAGTAAGAACCTAGGACCCCGCCCTCTGCAAAAAAAAAAAATCAAAATCAAAATGTTTAATTATATATAAGAACAAATATAAAAACTTTATGAAGGTCTTGTAGACATAGGAAGAGAGAATAAGTACAAAGAGGGATAACTCCAATTGTTCAATATAACTTGTATCTCATTTCCTGACTTATTTGGACATTTTTAGGGTCTAGACGCAGACTGAATACTGTATTAAAATATAAAAATAAGGAGATATGGTAAGCATTCCAATGAGACAACTATCCACCAAAGTTCAAATCTTAATTTTTCATGATCCAGATTAAAAAAAGAATTCCTAAATCTATTTATTTTACGTCTAAAGATCTATGAGTTTTAAATCATATTCAATGTCAAAAAGGAAATCCCCATATTTTCCAAGCCTAAATGACAGGAAGTTGTAATCAACATTTATAAATAGTTTTTTTAAGATATGCTTATGGACAATGTTTGCATGATTACTTCTTTCATTTATTAACTTTGGATATAGATATCCAGTTTGAAGGTATAGTCATACATTTTTATTTATAGAATAGATTACAATTAACTATAAATAAACCTGCATTTTCTACTTGAATAAATTAGGTCATGTGATATGTGCAGGTTTCTGTCCCCTGAAAATTACCTGGTTGACAGGTAATAAAGATTGACACCCGACTATAGCGCATTTAATATGTCATAATTAAGGATAATTTTAGCCATGGCTTAATGTAGAACTTGCTTATTTCTTTGAACATCTGGATCATGTGCATTTGGAATTTCACTGAAGATCGAGGGCAACATCATCTTCTCCTTGGAGCTTATGTAGAGTGAATTTCATGTGTGTATATCAAACCCTATCCATGGGCTTTTCAATAAAACAACTTGCTATGGGGTTCTTTGGAGGTATTGTTTTCTAATCCTCAAATTTTTTTTAACTCGCATTATGTTTCATTGATTTAAAAAAATAAATGGGGAATGTGTCCATAGATGATGCCCCCGCTTGCATATAAAGTTATAAAGGGACATAACTCAAGAACTGTAAAAGTGATGCTGCCCAAATTCATACTTGATCTGAGTTTTGTGGTAATAAGCATAACAAAAGCCATTGTGTATAAGTTTCATAACATTTTTTTGAGGCAAACTAAAGTTAAGAGAAAGGAAACCAATAACGGCGGGGGCATAAAAATGCCCCTTCACCAACAAACATGAAAGTACTAGTGCCATCACAAACTCTCAGAGATTCTTTTTTGGAACATCTGTGAGATGTCTTTTTATTGAACAGTAATATTCATTCATTAGTAGCAACTAAGATGTTAACCTTTAAGTAAAAATATAACTAGGTTACCCAAATAAATGTTCAAAATTGAAAAAAAAGGTAAGCATTTCATGAAAAATAATCTCAACATTATCATGATTATGGTGAATAGGTACACTGGAGTTTTTACAATGCAAAAGTTGGAAAAAGCAAGAGATTTAACACTTCTTACAATGTGATGGGACAAAATGTGAGACTATGATACAGAAGACAATCAATTTCAATTCTTTCTGTTGAGACTTCCAACAAATTTCATTTTTTTTTAATTTTTGGGTTAAACACTTGCTTTATTGAGAATTGAAGAATTCAGAGGTTTTTTAAATTTACAAAATGTGTTTTTCTTTGTTCTCAAAACAACGTGTTAAATCTTTGTCCAATTTTATCCATAGTGTGAAAGACAGTTCTTTGAAATTGGACATGAAAACAAGTTAACAGTTGTGGTCCATTTCTTTTGCTGTTCAGTAAAATAAAATCTAACCAATACACGAAGTGATGAGTCTAATGCACGATTTTGGTTTGAATAACAAGATTTAACTTTTTGGTATTTTATACAATGAACATTTAAAAAAAAAAATTGAATTAATATTCCCTATTATTTCAACTACTACTCTCAAAAATGAATAACCTATAATTTCATATATATGTAATTCTGAATAAAACAATACCTGGAGGTAAAAGTAAATCATGAAGTTTTCCTGGTTGTTATGCATGTTATGTTTACCTTTAAAGGTTGTTTTTCTCTCATTATAGCTAATTCTACATTCTTTCCACCAGATTGCACCACCTCTAACAGAGCTTTCAGTGCCAGTTTGATACATTCCTTATCGTTAGCTGCTACTTCTTCTGTGTAATGTTTCTCTAAAAATTCACGAACAGTCTTTGCACTTCTTCCAATTGCATTTGCCTAAAATAAATTTTTATTTCAATAATTAAAGGTGGACTTATTTAATGGCAAAAACATGCAGGTAGAAATTGAATTTTAAGTATATAAAATCAAATTGACACTCCAGGAAGAATGCTATGTTAATTTGAGAGCCATAACAATATTGTTTATAAACTGACAACATTTTCAATATTTTCTCCACATCATTCAGGTGGAGAGCTGTTACATCAAAGTATGCCTTCAGAACATTCAGCCCAAGTTGTGTTTAGACTGGACAACTGGTTGTAGAACACAGGGCTTTCAAAAGTAGTTGGCAGAAATCAGCTTCTTGCAGGACATTCAGGTCTTGTCTACTTTAGTGACCAAAAATAAAACTAAAAATCGAACAAAAATTAAATCAAAGCTACTGTAAATTCAGAAATTATTGCGAGGTTTTTATTAATGCGAATAATGCGATTCGGTGAGTATCGCAATAATAAGAACTCGCATTTTGATAAATAAAACGTTGATCTAAACCTAGATTGTTCTGAAATCGCATTAATTAAACTCGCATTCTTGTCCATTTTTGACAAATCGCAATAATAAATGCCCGCAATAATTTCTGAATTTACAGTAATCGGAAATACTTTTCCCCCACGAAATTAAAGAAGTAAACACTACTACAAAGGTGTATAACAACCTAGACTTCCCATAAGGGCTTCACATGGTAGAGGGAAGTTAATCAATATAATTACTACATCTTACTGAAGTTCACATGTAAAGGCAATTCTAATTGGTCTGTATCGAAATCAAAAACTAATGAAATTATAGCTTGCAATTATGACAACAGAGGGGACGAACATATTCAGTCTATTGCAATTGGAGGTAAACATTTTATTTTCACTTTCTAAAGTGACTAAGTGATTTTAGCAACCCCAAACATATGTATTGTTTGATTTTGGCGTTAAATTAAAATAAGAAATTGTGAGATGAAAGTTTGTTTCTTCAACGTTCCATGAATTAAGAACATACATGGCCATTCACACGAAACTCAAAAATGAAAGTACATTTTCCTGTAAACTTCAAATAATAGTATGTAAGTACTTGGTTCATTTGCATTTTGTTTTCACTCCACAATTGGAGTATATTTGAGAGAGACAAAATATAATTAAAAGCACAAGTTACAATCCATGTATGATAACTGAGTAGTAAAAGATGCACGTGATTGTTTGCAAATATATATATATATATATTCTTTTTCACTTTTTTGGTCTTTTGGAAAATGTTGTTTGTGCTGTATTTAGACCCCTTTACCAAGAATTTTTTTTTGCATGCACACGTATAAAAATTGTGGTTTTTATGATCCGTTCATCCTATTTTGACTCTTCAAAATTCAAGAGTCTATCCTAAATTGAGGTAAATTATATGGTCTTCCAAATACCGTTTCGATTCCTAACATCACTGAAGAGACATTAATTGTCGAAATCCGGATATGGTGTACTAATTTTTGCAGCTTTTGTTTGCGGTATACCATCTTTCCGCAAGTTTGTTGTTTTCTGTTTGGTATCAAATCAATAGTTAAGATCCATTTTGTTACATCTGGTGATCTGATTATTTGGCAATCGCCAATGGCAGTCAGCAGGGTTTAAGAACATCCGTTGTTCCACCTACTAGTCAAATGCGTATGGTTAAAATATTCTTTTTCACTTTTTTGGTTTTTAGAAAATGTTGTTTGTGCTGTATTTAGACTCCTCTACCAAGAAATTTGTTTTGCATGCACACATATAAAAATTGCGTTTTTTATCCAACGCAATCATAGGTTTAAACGTTGTTTTCAATTTAGACTTGTATATAGATATATGTATATATGCAAGTCTAAATTGAAAACAACGTTCAAACCTATGATTGCGTTGGATAAAAACCGCAATTTTTGTATGTGTGCATGCAAAACAAATTTCTTGGTAGAGGGGTCTAAATACATATATGTATATAGTCAAGGCCATCTGCTGGAATGACTGTATGATGCATACAGTGTATGTGTTGTGGTGTCTGTGCTTGTCACTTTAGCTTTCAGCCTCACCACTGGATACCAGCTTGCTGTGAAAGAAGCTGAGTGCCTAAGTCTTCCTTGTCAGTTACAGCCTCTCATGCAGTAAGACCAAAGTGGCCAGATATGGAATTCTTCTCGAGGTGGCAGATATAAACTGGGTATCATACGATCCCAGGCAGAACCACAGGGTCTCGAAGGAGACTAGGCCCCCAGATGCACGGCATGCAGGCCCACCAGTGTGTGGACACGCCCTGATGCCTGCAAACTTAGCCCCCAGCTATGGGATAAATAGCTTCACTGCCTTGTGAATGACTTATAAAAGTCAAAGGCTACGGAAGTAAATCCAGAAAATCTGGGTAGATGGAACTCATTAGCTTAGTTAGAGCAATCGTCTAAGGGAAGGAACATCCTGACAGAAAAAACCTGACCCTCCACATAAGAGGTTGAGCTTAGGGCTAACAACCCTAACTTGTAAAAAAAGTTATGTTACAGAATCAGTAATGGAAAATTTTTCTACAACTGTGGAAGAGAGAATCGTTACTGCCCTACATGCCAATGGCATACAACATGTACAAGGGCAGTAAGTAAGTAAGTTAGGCCAAAAACTTCTAATTATTGAATGCCAAACAAAGATATGGGGACAGTTGTAACTGGTCCTTAAGAACTAAGTGATTATTCAGCTTACATAACAACCAAATCATATACAATATATGCCTCTGATACAAAATACTTACTTTCCATTCATGGTATGTTCCTGAGGGGTCTGTCTGATATAATCTTGGTGTTCCATCAAAATCAAAACCTATAATCAATGCTGACAGCCCAAATGGTCGTCGTCCATTACTCTGTGTATATTTCTGAAAGACAAATTGATAATTCCTTAAAAAATTAAAGAACCTTAGTGAGCGCGCTCACATACCCCACGTCCCCACATTGTCATTGGAGAAATAAAATAAGTGTAAGAAAAAAAAATTGTATCAGAAAAAAAAATTGAATCATAATTTCCTGTCAATATGCACATCTACATAGTATGTCCTTATTATCTACACAGTTTCATGAAATTCTGTTGTGTGGTTTGAGAGGAGTTGCGATGACAAAAGGTTGCAGTAGTATATTGGGCAAATAAGTTCAAAGGGGCGTAACTCCTGGAAAAAAATTGAATCATAATTTCCTGTCGATATGCACATCTACTTAGTATTGTCCTCATTATCTGAAAAGGTTTCATGAAATTCTGTTGTGTGGTTTGAGAGGAGTTACGATGACAAAAGGTTGCAGTAGTATATTGGGCAAATAAGTTCAAAGGGCCGTAACTCCTGGAAAAAAAATTGAATCGTAATTTCCTGTCGATATGCACATCTATGTAGTATGTCCTTATTATCTGAAAAGGTTTCATGAAATTCTGTTGTGTGGTTTGAGAGGAGTTGCGATGACAAACTGTTGCAGTAGTATATTGGGCAAATAAGTTCAAAGGGGCGTAACTCCTGGAAAAAAATTGAATCGTAATTTCCTGTCGATATGAACATCTACATAGTATGTCCTTATTATCTGAAAAGGTTTCATGAAATTTTTTGTGTGGTTTGAGAGGAGTTGCGATGACAAAAGGTTGCAGTAGTATATTGGGCAAATAAGTTCAAAGGGACGTAACTCCTGGAAAAAAATTTAAATCGTAATTTCCTGTCGATATGCACATCTACGTAGTATGTCCTTATTATCTAAAAAGGTTTCATGAATTCTGTTGTGTGGTTTGAGAGGAGTTGAGATGACAAACTGTTGCAGTAGTACATTAAAGTAAATAAGTTCAAAGGGGCGTAACTCCTAGAAAAAGAATTGAATCGTAATTTCCTGTCAATATGCACAACTACATAGTATGTCCTTATTATCTAAAAAGGTTTCGTGAAATTCTGTTCTGTGGTTTGAGAGGAGTTGAGATGACAAGAATCAGGACTGACAGAAGGACAGACAGACGGACGGACGAGTCAAGAACATTATACCCTCCGCAACTCGTTGCATGGGGTATAATAAATATGATGTCCTACCCAAAGATCTTAAAGAAAAACTTGTGTAAAGTCATCATAGATCAGTGTAGTTCAACTGAAGCTTTTCTCATAGTACTTTCAAATTCTTTCAGGTACAGAAAACAGCAAGGCAATTAATTTGTATTCATTTCTTTTCCTGCACCATCCAATTACAAGAAAATGAATGTCACAATGTTGCATATTTTATGATCATAGCAAATACATCGTAAATTACATGACTAAAATAGGAAAATGTATAGTATATATATATATATGTTAAAGAGTCAGTAGAATGCTAGTGAAAATGAGTCTTGTGAAAGCAGCTTCTCTGTTTTATCAGATGGTGAAACTTACAAATGTCATCGTAAATAATGTTTATTCATAAAAATTCAATCAGCTCTCCGTTTTATGGCTGAATTCAGCTCTTTCATTCCTGTCAGGAAAGCCAAATGGGAGACTTAATATTTAATGTACATGTACTGTTCTTTGCTTTGCCAAAAACAAAACATCAACCCTAAAATATGAAGCTCTGGGTTATTTATTAAGTCATGCACATTTATACCCCGAGGTTTTGAAGGCAAAATTACAACAATATACACAATGCAAACATTATAAAGTATTAAAAGTCATATATATATATATATACCAATAGTAAATAAAATGCTCCGCAGGGCGCAGCTTGATACGACCGCAGAGGTCGAACCCTGAACAGTTTGGGCAAGTATGGACACAATATTCAAGCTTGATACAGCTTTGCATTTGGATTGTGATTAAATATTTGACACAGCATAGGTTTCTGACACAGAATGAATGTGGTCTAAGAACTTAAAAATTTTAAATTGGACATTCACCTATTATGGTCTAATATCCAAAATCTAAATAAATGGTTAGATTCAGCATATCAAAGAACCCCAAGAATTCAATTTTTGATGAAATCAAACAAAGTTTAATTTTGGACCCTTTTGACCTCAATGTGGACAAAGTTGATAACGGGGCCCAAAAATCTAAATACATGGTTAGATTCAGCATATCAAAGAACCCCATATATTCAATTTTTGTTGAAATCAAACAAAGTTTAATTTTGGAGCCTGATTTGGACCAACTTGAAAACTGGGCCCATAATCAAAAATCTAAATACGTGTTTAGATTCAGCATATCAAAGAACCCTAAGAATTCAATTTTTGTTAAAATCAAACTAAGTTTTATTTTGGACCCTTTGGACCTTAATGTAGACCAATTTGAAAACGGAACCAAAAATTAGGAATCTAAATACACGGTTAGATTCGGCATATCAAAGAACCCCAATAATTCAATTTTTGATGAAATCAAACAAAGTTTAATTTTGGACCCTTTGGACCTCAATGTGGACCAATTTAAAAACGGGGCCCAAAATCCAAAATCTAAATACACAGTTAGATTCAGCATATTAAAGAACCCCAAGAATTCAAGAATAAAACCCCATTGAAATTGGTCAAGAAATAAGCAATTTATACGAAGTATCTTCTTTTGCACAATACTGTGCAATTAAATATTTCTTGCTATTACGCAATACTGTACAATTGACAATTTCTTGCTATTGCGCAATATTGTGCTATTGGATATTTCTTGCTATTGCGCAATACTGTGCAATTGAAGATTTCTTGCTATTGCGCAATACCACAATACTGTGCAATTGAAGATTTCTTGCTATTGTGCAATACTGTGCAATTGAAAATTTCTTGCTATTGCACAATACTTATTATATAATAATTTACACATCTTGTTTGGTGTGTATCTCCTACCATATTATTATTATTTGCTTTTAAATATAAATCAGAAATAACCAACTTAAAATGGAAAATTTTAAAAGAAAAAAAAAAGGAAAAAAAAAAAAATCCCCCCCCCCCAAATTTTTTGAACCCCCTTATGATTCATCACCCCCAAACTTAATCCTCACCTTCCCTTTGTGGTATGGTACCTTGCAGTACAATTTCAGAGAGATCCATACACTTGAACACAAGTTATTGTCTGGAAACTAGAAAAATGTGTTTTTTGGCCCCTTTTTGGCCCCAAATTCCTAAACGTTTAGGGCAATTACCCCCAAACTTAAACCCAGCTTTCCCTTTGTGATATGGAACCTTGTAGTACAATTTCAGAAAGATCCATACACTTACACACAAGTTATTGTCCTGAAACTAGAAAAATGCTTGTTTTTTGCCCCTTTTTGGCCCCTAATTCCTAAAATATTGAGGCAATTACCCCCATCATCAATCCCAGCCTTCCCTTTGTGGTATGGTACCTTGCAGTACAATTTCAGAGAGATCCATACACTTGAACACAAGTTATTGTCTGGAAACTAGAAAAATGCTTATTTTTGGCCCCCAATTCCTAAACGTTTCGGCAATTACCCCCAAACTCAATTCCAGCTTTTCCTTTATGATATGGAACCCTGTAGTACAATTTCAGAAAGATCCATACACTTACACACAAGTTATTGTCATGAAACAAGAAAAATGCTTGTTTTTTGCCCCTTTTTTGGCCCCTAATTCCTAAAATATTGAGGCAATTACCCCCAAAATCAATCCCAGCATTCCTTTTGTGATATGGAACCTTGTGGTACAATGTCAGAGAGGTCCATACACTAACACACAAGTTATGTCTGGAAGTTACAAAAATGCTTATTTTTGGCCACTTTTTGGCCCCTAATTCCTTTACTGTTGGTACCATAACCCCCAAAATCAATCCCAACCTTCCTTTTGTGGTATTGAACCTTGTGGTAAAATTTCATAGAGATCCATTGACTTAAACTAAAGTTAGAGTGCGAAAACCAATGTGTCTTCGGACGACGCCGACGACGACGCCAACGTCACACCAATATACGACCACAAAAATTTTTTTGCGGTCGTATAAAAATGAAAAAAAAAACCCAACTAGTTATGATTATGCCGGTGTGGTGGTGTCCTCTCTCCTCAGTGCAAAGGACTTTTTAATGAATGGAACAGTAAGCTGCATAATATTAAATGATGATAGAAGTACAATGTAATTTATCTTTTTTGGATGTTTCCTTAAATCCTGGATGAATATTATTTTTGTCTTTTTCAAGCTGTTTTCGTAAAGATTTATTAATTTCACATGTTAAGAAAATATAGATTTCATCTTCACCTCATTAATATCACAATATTAACAAATTCTATTTTCTCTTTGAATTCTTTTATATCTACCCCTCTCTATTTCCAAGAAATGGTCAGACACATGAGACACTTACTCGCATTTTATAAAATATCTTTGATGATAGCTATATAGTGCTCTTATTCTAAAAGAGCATTTCTATGTAAATATTGTATATTTGGCATTAAGATCCTAGGTTTTTGAAACAAAAGTACAGTTCAACATCAAATAATTAAGCTGTTATGGATAAGTTTTTCTTTAGCATGTTTAGCTTTTAAATCAAATATCAATTGTCTGATTTGATTGATTGATTGGTGTTGAACCAACTTTCAGCACTACTGTGCTATTTCCTGGCAGTCAGTTTTTCTTGGTGGAGGAAGCCGGAATGCCCGTAGAGAAAACTGACAATCCAAGTCAATAAAGATTGGAGTTGAGTGCACCTGCCATGCGAAGGTTTTGAACTCACAACCTCAGTGTTGACAGGCTAGTGATACAGTAGTTTGACCACTTAAACCACTCTGCCACCGATGCCCCTTTAATAGTCTGCTTAAATTACAAATACAGTAAAACTGTTTACAGTGAAAAGAAAGGAAACTGGAATTGGTCCATTTTTGAAAAAAGATTCTTCAATGTTTTCACTTTCTGATAAAGCAGAAATGGCCATCCATAATTGGTGTAAAAGAAGAGCACCTTTCCTTATCCAGGGCAAACATTTTGCTAGAAACATACCATTTCAAATTGTATTGCATATACTACATTTGTATCAGACTATATTTTACAATTTAAAAGTGCTATATATATGTTGATCTACCTGTTTTAATTGTGCTATATGTCTGGTTATATACTCTAATGTAACAGGATCCTCTACTGTCAACTTATGGCTCTGACATTCAATTCGTCCTCGATTTATCAGAATTCTAGCATCAGCTGTCAAACCTATCATCAACAATGGTGAAGTGTATCAATGTGTATTAAGATGAGAAATGTTGATATTGTTTTCAACCGGTTTCAAATATTTCACAAATAAATGTAATAACCAGAAACTTAATAAAAGAAGAAATGTCAATAAATCCATATATTTGGTTGAAACTTCAGTATAAATTCAAAAGTTACCAAACAGGACTTTAAACATGTTAAATGTTCCCTAACATGACTTCCAGAATGACATACATGTAGGTACATGTGTAAAAGAAGTTCATAAAATAAAAACAATATTACATATATATGACAAGTTACTATTGTAACAAACCATTTTCTTGATTTTTCCTTTTTCCTTGTTTTGCATCCACTTTTGAATATATATTTTTGATTGGAAAAATAAGGACACACCTAAATAAGTTATAAACAACTTGATATGTGGTTGGAATATGTAAATATAGCCATTTTTTAAACCCCTGGTTTTTGGTGGGGTTCTTGTTGTTCAGTTTTCTATGTTGTGTTTTATGTACTGTTGTTTGTCTATTGGTCGTTTTTTGTTTGTCATGGCATTGGGAGTTTGTTTTCGACTTATGACTTTGAATATATCCCTTTGGTATCTTTCGCCTATTTAGTACAATGCATCATAGAGACATTTGAAACACGTTTGAATCACTAGTTTTAAATAATTACCATGATTACTAACAAGAGTAATTTTTAATCATGTTATGGAACACCTTGTCTGATTTGCAAATATTTTTGTCATGTTTGTAAGAAGCTTTAAACATTCAATGCACTTTAAACTTACCTGCAAAAGCTAAAGCAACATGATCATCCAATAATGCTATTTTTCTGACAGTTCTGTCTTCTTGTAGTTTCGCTACAGCTTTCTTCTCTACACCAAGGACAACAATGTTTTTACCTCTAACACCAACCTAACAAGTTATCAATATAATACATTAAACTAAAGTGAGAGCACTTTTTATATCACTTGTTTACATTAAAACATTTTACTATAATAAATGGGGAATGTGTCCATGGGACACAGATGATGCCCCCGCTAGCATATCATATAAAGGGAAATAACTGAAGAACAGTTAAAGTGACGTTACCCAAATTTGTACTTGATCTGAGTTTTGTGGTAATAAGTATTGTATATAAGTTTCATAACATTTGGTTGAGGCAAACTTAAGTTAGAGAACGGAAACAAAAAATTAAGCAATTTTTCTATTTGTAAAGAGGCAAAACTCTAGAACAGTAAAAGTGACATCACCAAAATTCGAACTTGATCTGTATTTTGTGGTAATAAGCATTGTGTATAAGTTTCATAACATTTGGTTTAGGCAAACTAAATTTAAAGAACAGAAACCAACTTTGGGACCTACGGATGTACAGACGGACAAGGGTAAAACTTAAAGCCCCCTCCACTATGGCGGTGGCATAAAAAACATAAATACTATGTAGTATTACTGTAAATAAGGTAAACAAAATATCCATACTTAGAATTACAATTTTACCCATACAATGCATATACATGTACATTCAGATTCTATTTTGTAGTTTCATAAAAAAAAACTCATCAGAGATACCAGATTTATAATTTTGAACACCAGACATGCTTTTCACCTACAAAAGACTCATCAGAGATGCTCCAATCAAAATAGTTAAAAGGCAAAATAAAGTACAAAGTTGACAAGCATTGAGGATCCAAAATTCAGAAAGGTTTTGCCAAATACAGCTTAGGTAATCATGGTAATGTATTCCTGGGGTAGAAAACCCTTAGTATTTGGAACAATTCAATGTTCTGTAAACAGTTAAACTCATAGTGTAACACATGCACTGTCATGACTGTTAAAATAAATATTAATATAAAAATTATAAAAAAAACTCTCAAGTTAATAATTTCACAAGCTATAACATACATTTGTACTTGCTAAAGTATTAAACAAGTACAATATACTAGTAATTTTATAAAACCTTCACAAATTATCAGAAGAATGTTGGAATATGATTTGGTCAAATGAGAAATTATATTAAACTCCAGAAAATCTTCTTTGAATAAAATACAATATATATAAAGGAGCTTACGCAAAGCTACATGCATTTCTTTTTTAAATCCAAATATAAACATTTAACATTGTTTAACATGATAAACAGTCAAGGGTCTAACTTAAACAAGTTATTACAGAAAATAACAGGCATAGTGTTATCATGGTTATTGTGGGAATATTTTGACAGAGCTGTCATGAAAAAAAGAGGGGCCTCAGTGGCCGAGTGGTCTAAGTAGTCCGACTACTGTATCACTAGCCAGTCAACACTAAGGTTGTGAGTTCGAATCCCGCACGGGGCAGGTGCACTTGACTCCAATCTTATTTGACTAGGATTGTCAGTTTTCCTACTGAAGGTCGGTGGTTCTCTCCAGGCACTCCGGCTTCCTCCACCAATAAACACTGACCGCCAGGAAAAAGCACAATAGTGTTGAAAGTGGCGTTAAACACCAATCAATCAAATCCTGTCATGAATTGTGTTGAAATAACACATGTCCGTTATATTGTACAAAGAAACAATGTCTGTAATAATGTCTTTCAGTTATCACAGACATTTTCGTCGGGTGAAATGCAAATCGGGTCAGATACTTTCAAATTTACCACTGTTTGTTTTCTTGTTAAGATCTCCTGAGATTAAAAAATCATTTCAACAAATTTACATTATTATCAGGGCCTAATCTAGGATTTTTAAGAGGGAGAAGTGATTGTATTATTTGGTACATATATAGGTTAAGTTGTGACTAAATAAACAAGAGATTTTTTTGCTATTTATTGAATAAAAATTGAAATGTAACAAGTTAAAAACCAGCTGGTGGATAATTTAATTAAAAACATACAAATGGTTGAAATTTGAATCTAACCCTGGACCTTCAGCACTGTAGATATCGGTCTTACACACTTTTACACGGACAATACATTTTCATTTGTTAAAACCTATTGAACAATTGAAATTAAGTAGACTTGAATTTGCTTGATAAGTGCCTTTCCTTTAGAAAAAAAACTGGCATGCCTTTTGCTAATTCTAGATATAACATGTCATTAGATTTCAACTTGAAATAGTGCATGCAGAAATGAAGATGACAATGCAAAATTCAGGTGGTCTACTGTTTCGATGGACTAAAATACTTTGACTTAGCCTAAATATGAAGATTAAAATATTTTCTTACAGCCATAGACCCTTTCTTGACTGCTTCCTGTGCATATTCAACTTGAAATAAGTGTCCATCCGGCGAGAAAACTGTAATTGCTCTGTCGTATCTGGCTGTCATGTTGCTGAGTAAATTAACAGGCTCGCGCTGAATATCCGGTAACCTCTGTCACTAAAACGCTTTAAATGGAACATCCAATCCCTATTGAAATATCGAGTTAAACATATCACGAGAAAGGACATAAATACACATATAAATATTTATTTTTCATTTGAAATCGGTATCATATGTTTTCACATATATAGATATTAAGTTCAGTTCAGTTTTATGCATTTTCCTTCATTAATGATGGAGCACTACCCTAGGGTTTAGTGTTAAAAGACTATTTACTATTAATTAAACCTGGGCCAGGACTATTATACTAACTAACGTCGTATTTAATGTCCCAACGGTTAACTTGACATAAAAATAACAATACAAATTGAAAAAAAAACATATGTAAAATTTTAGTAGCTTTAAAGAGTAATCATACTTAAAGTTCGAAGTGGTAATTTTATTTCAAAAGTAGTGCATGTTATACAAAATAAATAATGTGTCTTATTTAGAGGTGTTAAACTGTACTGTACATTGTGAGAAATTAAATAAAACGAATGTTGGGTGTAAGTTGACAGATGGGCTTTCTCTTCTTCCTCAGTTATACAACAAAACTTCAGGATACTGAAGATTACTTGTTGTTGCGCATGCGTGTTTAAATTTAATTTTCTTGTAGATGCCAAAGAACAAAAAAAAATATATACAAATTTGACAATTTGTGCATGTATATTACAAAAACTAGTGATTAAAATAAAATTTATATACACAAATTTAAATCAGTTGGCAGAGAACACCTTGTGTAAGGTGTGCTCTGAAACTGTCAACTGTGGTTGACTGTACTGTGGCTATAGGTAGCATGTTCCATTGTATGATGGTGTGTGGGAAAAATGACCACTTATATGTTTCCTTTGTGGTTCGTATATGTCTATAAGTATTTGGATGGTTTTGTCTTGTTCTACTGTCTGTTGGTATTAAAATTTCAGATGGTATGGCAATGAGGCCGTGAATTACTTTGTAAAATATAATAAGACGTGTTTTAAGGCGGCGTTCAGCTAATGTTGGTAGTTTTAAATTATTCATCATATTTGTAACGCTACTGGTGTTATGGTAGTTGTTACAAATGTACCTAGTTGCTCTTCTTTGAACCATTTCTATTTTTTGGGTAGCATCTTTTGTGTGAGGGTCCCATAAACTGCAGCTGTATTCTAATTTAGGTCTGACTATTGCTTGATATGCTCTTGATTTAATGTCTGTGTTTGATATTTTTAAATTTCTTTTAAGGAATCCTAAAGATTTATTGCCGTTTGAGATAATGTTGTCATAATGTAGGTTCCATTTAAGATTTGATTGTAGAGTAACGCCCAGATATTTAGCAGATGTAACAGATTCAAGAATGTGACTATGAAGGATGTAATCATGTAAATATGGTTTCTTTTTATGTGAAATTGAAAGTTTAGTACATTTATCAGGGTGGAAAGCCATAAGCCAATCTGCTTCCCACTTTGCTGCAGCGTTTAGATCTTCTTGTAATTTATCACAGTCTGATTGAGATTTGATTTCTCTATATATGATGCTGTCATCAGCAAAGAGTCTTAATTTGCTATGTGTTAAATATTCAGAGAAGTCATTAATGTAAATGAGAAATAATATGGGGCCCAGTACAGTACCCTGTGGGACTCCAGATGTTACTGGCACTGATGTAGAAGAAATACCATTTATTACAACTGTTTGTGTTCTATCGGATAAAAAAGCTTGGATCCATTTAAGTGTCTTTTTCCTTATACCATAGTATTGAAGTTTGTAAAGTAATCGTTGGTGAGGAACTTTATCAAACGCTTTAGCAAAGTCCATAATGATAAGGTCAATTTGAATGTTACTATTATTACTAGATGATAGTTCTTGAATGAAGTCAATTAATTGTGATTCACAAGATCGGTTTTTTCTGAAGCCATGTTGTAGATTATATAAAATGTTGTTTTGTTCTAAATGTGACATTATGTTACTTGTGATGATATGTTCCATGATCTTACAGCATATACATGTTAATGATATGGGTCTGTAATTTACAGGTTTATATTTTTCCCCTTTTTTAAATGCTGGAGCAACGTTGGCATGCTTCCAATCTTTAGGTGTTTCCCCCGACTCTAATGACTTACTGAATATTAATGTAAGTATTGGTGACACTTGCTCTTTTAATTCTTTTAATACTCTACCGTTTATATTGTCAGGTCCACATGCTTTGTGGGGGTTAAGATTTGATAGTAATTTTGTGACTCCTGTTTTGCCAATAGATATTTGTGGCATTTCAAGATGTGGGCTAGTACCTTTGTCTGGGATATTTGTGTTAGATTCATTTGTGAAGACGGACTGAAATTGATGGTTTAAGATGTTTGCTTTTTCTTCTGTTTCAGTGATTAGTATACCGTCCTTTTTCAAAGGTGCAATACCTGTGCTATCTGTTCTTGTGCTTTTAATATAGCTAAATAAATTTTTGGGTTTTGCATTTGGTGTCATATGTTGGTCAGCATCATTTACAGGTTAGTTACAGATTATTTTTTCTATGTAGTTCCAGTAGCCTGTACGTAGTTCTTTCTGTACTTGCTTTTTAAGTTTTTTGAATTTTTCTGGATTTTTCTTTCTCTTGCTATATGCTTTATTTTTGTTGTTAATAAGTTTTCGTAATTTGTTTGTCACCCAAGGTAGTCTATGTTTATATGTTAACATTTTATGAGGTACATTATTTTCAATTGATGTTACAAGGTCCACTTTAAAGGTGTTCCATAATGTGTCGACATTACTTGTTTTATAGTCTTTATCTAATGTTATTAGAGTATTTTCTAAATCAGACTTGATATTATCCCAGTTAGCCTTATCAAATTTAAGAATTTTTCTGGGTACTTCCCTTACTCTTTTGAGCCATGTATCTATTTCAATATAAACTATGTCATGATCTGCTTGACCAACTGGTGGTAATGTTGTAATTTTGTTTATATTTGTTGGGTTTGTAGTAAAGAAAAGATCTAGAATTCTATCTTTACGTGTAGCTTTATCTGTCACTTGATGTAAGTTGTGATCATTTATAATGTCTAGTAATTGTTGATGCAATGTTGGTTCAGGTTTGCCTGTAACTACAGATGGTATAGACCAGTCAATATGGCCCAAGTTAAAGTCGCCTCCAACCCATATATTCGATGTTGAAGTATTTTTAATTCTATTTAATGATATGTTTAAATTTTCTAGAGATGTTCCGTCATCAGAGGGAGGTCGATAATAAGTACCAATAATGATCTTTTTAGTACCTGTGATGTTTATTTCAGCCCATACAAGTTCACATTCGGTTTGTAATTCACAAATTTCTGTGCTTATGAACTCTTTTGTTATTGCTAAAAGTACCCCTCCATGACTTTTGTCTTTACTATTAGGTGTTCTGTCTTTTCTGTATACATTATACAGGTTTGGTGGGAAGAATTCTGATGATGGTGTTGTTTTATTCAACCAAGTTTCAGTTCCCATGATGATATCAGGTTTAACTGAGTTAATGATCTCTTGTAAATCTGGTTTTTTGTTACAAATTGATTGAAAATTTATATTTAATATTCTAATTGGTCTCTTTATTTTACTTTGTTTTGCTTTAGTTTTGGTATTTATATTTTGTTTATATCTGTCCTCTTCCTGTACTTTAGGTGAAGAAGAGGCCGTTGGTGCCCCTGGGCTACTTAATACTGAACATCTACTAAGGGTTGAAAATTTATTTTCAGTTTCAACACTATATGTTGAATTAAATATTGCCGTAGAGAAATTAGGCATACCACATTGTAAACATTCCCAAGACACATTACTTGCATCCATGAATCTAAATATATTTGATTGTATATGTTGGCATTTTATGTGAAACCATGTTTCACAGCTATCGCAACAGATCGCTTGGTGTTTCCACGTTACTGCTTTTGAGCATGAACCACAAGGCCACTTAGGTGTTTTTGGCCCAGGATTTGTTTCTGTGTCAGATGCATTTGCTAAAAGAAGTATAAATATGTACTTACTGACTGGTCTACATTTGTTCACTTTCAGTTGAGTTGCAAGTACTCCTGTTACATGAATGTTTGAGTTGTTAATAGCTACTGATGTATTTTTGTTCTCAGTTTGGTGAGTGGAATTTAACTGAGATAGATGGTTTGCTAATAGTAAGATGATGGATAAACTCAAATATGTATAGTACAGTTGCATGATGTCACTGTTTATGGTTTATTTGTTCACTTTATTATGTATGTGCTAAGATAGAAAAGGTGCAGCCTACCTTTAAATAAGATGTTAATATTGAAGTGGTATGTTAGATCTTCGTCCCTTCAGCTACCAAAGGGTGCTGGTTTCTTATGAAATAGCCTGATTAGTTAAAAGTATCAGTACAGTTGGAAGTAGAAATTTGTGTTGATTTATGCTGTGTGTTTTTACTACAACAAATGTATTTTTTTTTTTTTTTTTTTTAATGATATTTAAAAAATAATTCTTTAATGGATGTATATGAATAAATATTATATATTTACCCAGGTATTGCAATTTTATGTAAATTTTATGTAAAAGCTTTGCTTTTAAACGATCAAAATATCAATTTTAGTGAAAAAATTTCATACGACAAAAATTTCCTGCCATTTTCTTCACGCATGCGCAGGCTTAACATAACTAATCATGCATCACAAGTTTTAAAATTCAAAAGTATTCAAAGGACACTTTTCCTTTAAAACTGACTCCAAATTCAGTAACTATATAGCAATATGTTGATAATATAGCAGCGACAATCACTTTTATTTTTTTGTAACAAATAAAAAATAACACTTTATATCATAAAAGTGTGCGTCTGAATTCTATTTTTTATTTCTAGAATGAACTCCATCAGGAACTATCTTAAAAAAAGAAACACAACGATGTATAATGATTAATACTTTGGGAACTATTATGATAAAAGGGGACTGCAATGCAATAAAGACTGAGCTTCGAGACTACTATAATACACATGTGTTACAGTAGTCCGTCAGATTAAGACAATACACATGAAAACCTATCAACGTTAACTTTGTCCGTCTG